GTTTTCTTTATTACATGAAATCATATACAGCCAATTTAATTCAACAAACCAAAAGTGAATTAAACAAACATTCTATCATGAACAAGTTTGTACCGTGTACACATGATTTAAAACCGAGCAAGGTGAGATGTTCAAAGCAGAATGGCATTTCAAAGCAGTGAAGTTGAGTGCTAATCTTCTCCTACCATCAAAGGACATTCAATGCACTCTTGTAGGAAATGACAACGTCTCCCACTGCACAGCTATTAGCAGCACTAAAACACAGGCCACAACAGTTCCTCAAAGAGAAAACCAAAAACGACCAGCAGCAAAGAGGTCCTTACGACACGTGGGGAAACAAAAACACAACATTTTAGGTCTTCATTAGCACATCTTGTTACAGAGGCTAGTTTTTAGCAGCAGGTTTCTCTGACACATGAGGTCATTCACACAGGCTAATGTGGGTCAACCACCAGTCGCAAAATGATAATCCATAAAGTTTTAAAACAAGGGCAAGTAACAAGGAAAGTGCAAAAACCTCTAGAATTACCTGCTAACATTAACATCATTATAAAGTTAAAAGGGCGAGGCTAAAATATGCATGACTTTTGTTTTTCTAAAACAGGATTTTACAACAGAGATTAGAGTTATTACCTGATATGTAGCCGCCAGCTAGATGAAAGATATGTGGCTGCCAGCTAGATGTATATGCAAAAATGTAGATTCACACCCAAGTGCCCTGATTCAACTACGATAAAAGCATGTTTTCGATTGTATACCGGTGTTATTACATACAGTTACATGTGAACTCGACACAATATAGAAGCTGAAGCAACATGCAGCACATAATAAGCAGTGGCAGAAAATATGCACGTTTCATTCTTTAAAGTCATTTAGACAAGCTGTAGCAGCAGCAGAGTGTGTTGGGTCTGAAGACTGTTTCTGTCTGACTACAACACAACTCAAGGCCAAGCGCTCAGTGACAGGCAGGTTCACAAGTTTACACACTGTTCAGTTGCCACTCTGCATCTTCCTATATCTCTGCTAGAACTTAGTGTCCCGACTTGGCACGCATTGCTGCAGTCTCCAAAGAGGTGTGGAGGGGGTTACAAACGAGGAAGAGCAGAAAGAAAGAACAGGTTGGAACATTTTTCACTGGTCCTGTCATTTTTTATCTGATCAGCCAGAAGCTGTTGGACTACAAATCAAAAGTGTGCCAGAGAAAAGTTGAAGACAACAGAACACAGACAGGAGTTTAGCATTCCTCCTTCTTAAAAGTCCCATCCGCGGGCGAAGCTGGCAACATTTGTTGTCCCACTTTCTCCATGTCTCTGTGGACACTCTTATGGGATGTCTAGATTAGAGTTTGATGGAAATGTTTCCTGTATAAGTCTCTGCCTCCTATGTGATTTACACCTGGGCTCCCCTCAGGCAAAGCAAAATATGGGCTGAGGCATCAACATATAGAGGTAAATTAGAGGTGCATTGTCGTTTAAACCGAAGAGTGTTTCTTATGGATTGTTACAGAACAAGTACTGAGCAGGGGGAAGGCACACTTGTCACTGATCACCTTAGGCGCATAGCTAACACAACATAAGCTAACATTTTATAATTTGCCCTTAATGTGAGACTTGCCGTTGCTGAGGTGGAGAAGGATTTATATTACACAAACACCATCTACTCGTGGGCTGACATAAAACAGCAATCAACAAATCCCTTAAGGAAAGTTACCATGTATTTTCATAGCTATTTCATTTTGTGTAGCAGTAGCACAATGATTGGTAATAAAGAAATAAAATAAATTCTGTCAGTCTATCAGTATGTTATTGCAGAATTGACATATTTTGTTAAGCATTTATTTAGCTAAGAAAGCCCCAGAGATTGAGTTTCAGCATTTCTTCTTTCTGGGAGCAGTGGTCAACATTAGAGGGGACACACCATGTTAAAATGGTGTTCCCTCATCATTAGCTTACTCACAGTTTTATTTTGATATGATGCTTGAAAGCTCAGAATATTTTTGTTTTCACCTACCCCCATCTCCCTGAACTAATTTGTATTTATTAAAAAAATAAATCTGATTCCATGTGATACATCTAGGGTTCAAATTGTTGTGAAGCATTATTTAAAAAAACAAAACAAAAAAAAAAACATATTGAAAAGCCACTGATAAGAGGCTAGGTGTATTTATGCATTTTAACAGTAAGTCATTGACTGATTGATTGATTCCATTTATAACTAAATCGTTATACGTACATTTTTCTGTTTACAATGAACAGTTATAAAATAATGAATAAAGTATGCTATAGTTTATTACTAAGTGCAAGAAAGTTCTTTGTTTTTTAAACACTCTGAAAAACAGGTGAATAATTTAACTGTAGATTTTCAGCCCTTAAGTACCTTTGTATTTTTGTGACTCTATAACTCTCCTGAAGTTGGTCTGATTGATATAAAAGAGGAACAGGGGTGCATGTTTTAGCTCCGTGTGGACCCTGGACATGGCCTTCACACTGTTTCTACAAGGCTCAAGGCACTGAGGTCAAAGGTCACATTCTGCTCCACAGATTCAGGGGGTCACCTGGTATGTTCTGTGCCTGTGGACACAAGGAGCTGTCTCTGAGAGGCCATATGCTACACATTGAGCCAAGCAGTAGACTTCACAACAGGAGCAGCAGCAGCAGCCAGTTTGTGACAGGACGAGGCTCACACTCACACATGCAGGTATATGAGGTATATATCAGACACAGAGACTCAGGGCTGATGGTTGGGCCTGGCACTGTAGTATATCCCACATCTACTGTTACTACTGAATCTGTTAGTTTCTTTTGCTTAATTTCTGTGTTTTGCAGTGGCCTAACTTTCACACATGGCATGGTTTAGGTAAAGAGAAAACTACACAACCATGCTGTAAGCCCGAGGGCCAATAGGGGCCCCACACAGACCTGCCTGGACATGCACCTGCCAAACCCTGCAGTTTGTGGAGCTGCTCGTCTCATCCCCTGCAGCGGATTCCCCCGGCACTGCCTCTGTGGAGGTCTCTGAGTCTGCTCTGCTCTGGGTTCAGACACGCCGCTTGTGGGTTCCCAGAACAGAGGCAAATGAGGCAGGATCAGCGCAGCACCAAGCGGTTTAGATGCGTGCAGATTTTGCATGATATGCTTCATAACAAAGTCTGGTTAAGACTCACATTAGTACCTCATTAAAAGGACAAGTCTTTTTTGTCATCTTTACATGTGCACTAAGTGAGGCACATCCTGTGCACACCAAACAAATGAGCTGGGAGATCCACAGTCTGTAGTCTGAACATACTACGGCCACCACAACGTCTCATGCGGTTAGCAAACTGATCCCACAAGAAATCCCTAAGTCAATACTTAAGCTGGTATTTCAGTGAGGCAGGGAGGGTGTCCTCAATGGAACCTACATGCAATGGGTGGCACACTCCATTTCTGTGCCTTAAAACTGTATGCAGGCCACATTATTTATGTAAGAGATATTGGCTCTATATCGATGTTGCAAAAAAAAAAAGTGCCACTAATATCCTCTGAGTCGAGTACATGATCTGTTGGTGTCCATATCGTGACTGAGAAATGAATGGGCAGTAACTGAACAGACAGACAGTGTAATTAAGTCCTTAGTCACTCCGTCAGCAGACAGAATGAAGTCAGCAACACTTGAACTCGGTGATGTTGGGGAATTGGCCCTGGCAGATGAGCTAATGTGACTTGAATTAACGCATGACATGAGGAGATCAAGATTGATGCGCGCTGTCAAATCACTATCTACTAAATCACTGACAAGACAACATTAAACAATAAACATTGCTACAATTTATTGGGCAGTATTTTATGGATGTCAAAGAATATAAAATCTTATAAGTGCAATTACCGGCAAACTTGATCATTGGCTTGAAATGTAAAACTTGCTCTTCTGACTTTCTCATACAACAAACCTTTACGTCATTGTCCAAGTGTGTAATCTCTACCTGCAAGCTTGTTTTAACAATGCTCACCTGGGATAAAAAAACAATGCATGGAAGAAGAGAGGGCTGAAGGCGGGAGGGGGCAGGGACTTGGTGGTTGCCACATGGAGAAAGCAGAGAGGCACAAGCTGTGAACCTATCTGAGGGGGATTTTTCCAACATGACTTCAATGGCTTGATTTTTGTCTTGGGGTAGGGCTTTGCACTGCAATCATCTGTCAGAGGCAGAGGCTGCTGTGATTGGGTTGCGCCCTGCGGGGGTCTTGAGGTCATCTTGAGTGGCGCTCTGATCTAATCAACGTCAACTGTTCTCCCATGATGTTCTTGTAGCTGGTAGCTCCAGGTTCGTCCCTAGCAGAGTAAGGGTCCATCAACAAGCATTAGAACTTCAGTAAACTTTGAGCTTTTAGACACAGATAGTGAACATTCAGGCAGCAGATGTAGTCTGCATCTGCAAATGCAGAGGCTCCTTCCAGAAGTATGGTTTTGTTTGAGCTTGCCATGACAAAAACTTGTTAAAACACGGGTATAGCAAACATATTTTTGCTCTTCATTGGGGGAATTAAAATTAATTACCTGAATGAAACTATAATGGTTTCTGGCATAGGTGCTGATCCTGTCTGTCTCACTGAGCTGAATAATCTCTGTTAGACTCTGTTCTGGTAAAGCCATGTAGCGTCACATGAACTATTACTGTATAATGCTGCATTGTCCATTATCAGTAGTCACAGATGCAAGAACTGTCAACTTTAAAACCACTATGTATTTATATAATTAAAGTGATATACAGGGCTTTTCCCAAATCATGAACCAACAACTTTGTTAGATGAGTAGGAAAAAAACTTTGAAGTCTTTGAAATGTCACCAGTCCCACTGCCCTGAGGGCTTGTCCTGCATGAAGAGAATGGGACAAAACAAGTACAAGTTTGTAGAAGCAAGCATGAACTCTGAGATGATGAATACGTTTTCTGATGTATGCCCTTCAATGTTATTTTGTCGTAACCACAGACTGACCCCAGCCCTGCTCTGTTTCTGTGTAACAGGTCCCTCGCTCTTGGACAGCAGTACTCGTCTCTGGGCTCACAACCCATCCTGTGCGGCTCCATCCCTGGCCTGGTGCCCAAACAGTTACGCTTCTGTCGCAACTACATCGAGATCATGCCCAGCGTCGCAGAGGGGGTCAAACTGGGCATCCAGGAATGCCAGCACCAGTTCAGAGGGCGCAGGTGGAACTGCACCACCATCAAGGACAACCTAGCCATTTTTGGCCCAGTACTAGATAAAGGTAATACAAAGTGTATATCAGTTTCACAGGCTGTACTGTGAACAATGTAAAGTGTACATGGACAGCTAACAGCCTTTTCCACCCAAGGGCTCAGCACTGGCTGTTCTCTTAGCTTTTGCAGACAAACGACTAACTGGGGCAATTACAATAATATACACCTTCGGCGGGTGCAGTGAGGAATGAGCCCAGAACAGGCTCTGGCAGATTATTCTTCTTCAATCCATCTTTACCTTCTGTGTCCCATTTGTCTTTGATTCTGTGACTTCTGCTGCTCCTTGGTTTCCCAACTGTGTTTACACACTGCAACATGAAAGCAAGCCAGCGCCATAAATCTATCAGCAAAAGCTGACAAGTACAGCTGATATACTGGAGGCATCCATCAGACTGTTGCATGCAGAATACCAATTCTGCAGAATACCAATTGTGCAGGGGATGTTGCCACACTAACGCAACGTGACAGTACAATAGAGAGAGCAGCACCTAAACAAAAGCCATGTGTCATGCTAAGTGACTTCCATTTGCTAATTATAAAGATCGATGTTTGTGTGTTCGGAGTGGGGCAGCTGATTGGGAAAAAATACTGTGTGTCAGAGGGGATGGAAAAACTAGGCAGCATGAGCAGTCCAAACTCCTGAGTCAAATAAAAGGGAGAGGGGAAACCAAATGAGATTACAGCCAACAGAAAAGGGCTGGGGGCTCCGCTCAACCCCTACTGTGCATGAAGACCAGTGCGCGCCTCACACAGCCAGCTCCCACGGATGCCCCATTCACACGCCCTTTTGACTCTGTCATGAAAACAGGCTGAAAGGGGATCGCGGCGGCTCCCGGAGCAGCCGTGGTGTCACTTTGGGATGGGGATGAAGGAGGACCAGACTTTGGGATGGGGATGAAGGAGGAGCAGGCTGGAGCAGAATCAGGAGCAGTGATGAATGGTGCGTCTGGTTAGTAGCAGCAATGCCGCAGGTCAGGCAGAGCCACCTTGGCTGTGCGGCTCCTGCAGTGGGACTCTGACATGGGTGCTGGTGCATGGGACTGGGCTCTGGGTGTTGGTGGAGAGGGGGTTATGGAGTTTAGGGAATGCCAGCTCCGGGCAGAGAGGGGCTGTGGGGGCGCGAGTCGCTGGGCCTTTTGTGCAGATAATACAGTGTGACACAAGGGAAACAAAGGGGGATTGATGGGCCCAGCAGGTAGCAGGAGCAGCGCTAGCCTTGGCTATCGTCCAGAGCTCCAGGGGCCCAGAGCTCACAGGAGCCTGTTGTGGAGGGCCTGGCCAGATTTATCAGGGGGACCCGGGATGTCCACTCTCAGCAAGAGTGAACTTAACTTAAATATTAGTTACTTACCTTCATCATTTTTTCATTTATATTTTCCTACCTGTCTCCACTTCTTTTTCAATAGTTGTGCAGCATTAGAAAACTATGTATTTTAAAAATCAAGCTGGCAGTTGACATATCACAGTTTAAGTCATATATCAGTCACTGAACTTTTCCCCCTCTCAGTACATACTCACACTCCGATTGTTGCAATAATGTAACATCTGGCTGACACTTCTGAGCTAAAGGGTTGAAAACAACTTAGCATGCAGACATCCTGTGAGTACAAAACCTTCTATAGCTACAGGCAAAATATTATCGCTTGTTTGTCTGCGGTTTGAGAAGTGAAAACCATTTGCTTTTCTAAATTACCAAAAGATCTTTGGCTATTTTGCCGTATTGTGGTCTGATCTATATGTTTGTGATTATACAAAAATTAAAGCTTGGGGAAATTTGTTTTCCATATATTTCAACCTTTCCTTTAAAAGGGCAAACATTTCTACAGTAGTTTTGCTTGTGTGTAAAATATATATGTGTGTGTACTTTTAGGAGCAGTAGAGAGTCATGGCTGAGCAGACTTAATTGTGCTGTTATTGTGAAACAATGGTGTCTGGTTACATAATAAGCTGTTGCCTTCAAAGAGGCGTATATCTCCATCCCTGGACGTCAGAATGAAACATGCCGACACGCGGCTGGGTTTGAGTGCACGCCCTCGGGTGGGAGCGGGACAGTGGGCGGAGCTTGGTGACATTCCTGAAACACTATCCAGATGCAAAGCAGCACACCTCAGGGATGAGAGGAGGTCAGAGAGATCCTACTGAGCACAGGACGACTGACACCACCACAAAGAGCTGATGTCACTGCACACAGCACTGTGGGGCCCTTTCATGTGCTCTGCACTACTCACTATCTTATATGGGTCATTTGAATCACACATTTGTAAAGTATACCATAGTATCACTTTCTCCTATAGGTGCAGGCCATACTAATGGGGCAAATACCAGAGGAGACGTGCACTTTTCAAAGATGAACTGCTGCGTTAAAAGGTTCTAGCCTGGAGGTGTCCCCATCACTACTTTTGTCTGGAAGTTGGCAGCAGTCATCTCTGCTCTATGTTGAACAGTGTTCTGACATACCTCTCTCCTTCTCTTTGTCTTCTCACATGTCTTCAGCCACGAGAGAGTCTGCGTTTGTCCATGCCATCGCTTCAGCCGGGGTTGCGTTCGCTGTGACACGGTCCTGCGCTGAGGGCACCTCCACCATGTGCGGCTGTGACTCCCATCACAAAGGACCCCCGGGCGAGGGCTGGAAGTGGGGCGGCTGCAGTGAGGATGCAGAGTTTGGGGTGCTGGTGTCCAGGGAGTTTGCAGATGCCCGGGAGAACCGGCCGGACGCTCGATCTGCTATGAACAGGCACAACAACGAAGCAGGGCGATCGGTAAATATCTGCAGTTGACTAGATGTAAATATGGTTTAATAAGTACCACCTACATGGGGCATTATGGAACAGTATAGACTTTGTGTTATTCTCAAACCTATAAATGGAAAAGACCTCTCAAACTGCAAGGAAAAGGAAGATTATTTCACAATTTGAACCAGGATTTTTGTGTGTATTTAACTTCTAGTAACCTGCCTACAGCCATGGTTATTTTGCTAATTGGTTAATCCGTTTTGATTTTTCAGAAAAATCAAAGATAAGAAGGTACCTGAATAAGAGATTTTCCTAAAATTCACTCACATACAGTCTAAGTGCTGCCACTTAAGATGTCATTTTGATGTAATTAATTGTTTGGCAGCCCATTAAAATGTTTGTGTTACAATGAATTGTAATGAACTGAAACATCACGATAATTCACAATTACTGACAACCATGATCAAACAACAGTGAAATACTTAATTCACTTTCATCTACACATTATTAATACTCCTGTACCAGCTTTATGAAGGTACATTTTCTGAATAAAAGAGTTGAGTTTATGTGACAAAAAAGTTCTTTGGTTTAGGTTTGAAATCACATAATTAAGCCTCTAATCATCATTAGTATTTTTTTTTTACATTTACAATTGTGACCTAAACAATCTTGACATTCCTGTACAACACATTTTTGACTTGTCCACACATTACCTAGTTCCCAACAAAAATGTGCACTTGAATTTGAATGACGACTTAATTACCCATCTAAGCTACTCTCACTGTCTCACCACGGCCCCACGCCTTTCTTTTTATGCCTCACATCCACCAAAAACTCCCTGCCACTCACAAAGAGCCACAGGAGAGAGGGAACATGAGGGAGTGAGTGGCGATTTAAAGCATCAGTGAGTGCTGTCACCATTGGGAGAAACAGGCTCCTGTGCAGTAGCTGTGGGGCATGAGCAGGGCCCAGGAGCAGACTGCCTTTGATCTGACACACAGGAGCAGGACCACAGGAGCGGAGCTGTGTCACACTACAGCTCCCACCTGGGCCTTTCATGCTCCAGCTGCCCCAGGGCATTATGGGAGAGGACTGATGTTGGCATGACAAGATTACTGTTCATACAGTATGATGTCAGCTCTTCCCATTTCTAACATGGGTGCCACAAAAGCCTGCCTTCTGTGGCTGGGGGATTTCTGTGGTTAAATATAGCCAGTGAATTTAAGCACAACAAAATCAAAACAGAAAATGTGCCCTGGGGCAGCACACTCATGATAATGTGTGACTTCAGAAGGAATTCACCACAGTGCAGAGCCTGAACCTCACAGCGGACAGAGCCTGTGCCTCACAGTAGCCTGGCTGTGCCTCACAGTATCCTGTACTTCACAGTAGCCTGTGCCTCACAGTAGCTGTACCTCACAGTATCCTGTGCCTCACAGTGGCCTGGGCCTCACAGTGGCCTGGGCCTCACAGTAGCCTGTACTTCACAGTAGTCTGTGCAGTACAGTATCCTGTGCCTCACAGTAGCCTGTACTTCACAGTAGTCTGTGCCTCACAGTAGCCTGTACTTCATAGTATCCTGTGCCTCACAGTGGCCTTGGCCTCACAGTAGCATGTACCTCACAGTATTCTGTACTTCACAGCAGCCTGTACCTCACAGTATCATGGGCCTCACAGTATCCTGTGCCTCACAGTGGCCTTGGCCTCACAGTGGCCTTGGCCTCACAGTAGCCTGTACTTCACAGCAGCCTGTACTTCACAGTAACCTGTGCCTCACAGTAGCCTGTACTTCACAGTAGCCTGTGCCTCACAGTGGCCTTGGCCTCACAGTGGCCTTGGCCTCACAGTAGCCTGTACTTCACAGCAGCCTGTACTTCACAGTAACCTGTGCCTCACAGTAGCCTGTCCTTCACAGCAGCCTGTACTTCACAGTAGCCTGTGCCTCACAGTAGCTTGTGCCTCACAGCGGCCTTGGCCTCACAGTAGGCTGTGCCTCACAGTGACCTGTGCCTCACAGTGGCCTGGGCCTCACAGTAGCCTGTGCCTCACAGCAGCCTGTACTCACAGTCCTGTGCCTCACAGTATCCTGTGCCTCACAGTGCCTGTCCTTCACAGCAGCCTGTACTTCACAGTAGCCTGGGCCTCACAGTATCCTGTGCCTCACAGTGGCCTGGGCCTCACAGTGGCCTTGGCCTCACAGTGGCCTGTGCCTCACAGTAGCCTATGCCTCACAGTAGCCTGGGCCTCACAGTAGCCTGTGTCTCACAGCTGCATTGCCTGAGCGAGTGGCAGGCAGTTTTTCTTGGCCCGGGTTGCTGGTGTTTAGTGGTCTTGTTAGTCTGTGTTACTGAATTTCCTGAAGGTTTCTCCGACCAGAAAATTCCAATAGATCTTGGTTTGTGAGAGGCTTGGCTTTCCTTCCCTGCATCGGCTGATCGGCTACAGAGCCAACCAAAATCTTTTCTTGATTACGAATCTTTTGAAAAGCATTTGCTCAAGAATCCATGGTTAACTTTTAAACACAAAATGTAGTAATAATAATATTACAAGTACAGAAGATTTTTTGTTTATTAAGCAAGTCAGCCATAATGCTAGCTAGCACTGATTAGCCCATAATAAAGTATTGGGGCTGTAGTGACTATTTACCAAGTATACTTTTCAAAAAGACGCTTGATGAAGTGTAAATGTATGGATGAAACATAGTTCTTAACACTGACTACAGTATGTGTGTGTTTCAGACCATCCTGGACCACATGCACCTGCGCTGTAAGTGTCACGGTCTGTCCGGGAGCTGTGAGGTGAAGACGTGCTGGTGGGCGCAGCCGGACTTCCGCACACTGGGGGACTACCTCAAGGACAAGTACGACAGCGCCTCAGAGATGATCGTGGAGAAGCACCGGGAGTCTCGGGGCTGGGTAGAGACGCTGCGGGTCAAATACGCTTTTTTCAAACACCCGACGGAGCGTGACCTGGTGTACTATGAGGGCTCACCCAACTTCTGCGAGCCCAACACGGAGACGGGCTCTTTCGGGACCAGGGACCGCGTGTGTAACGTGTCCTCGCACGGCATAGAGGGCTGTGACCTGCTGTGCTGCGGCCGGGGACACAACACCAGGACTGAGAAGCGCAAAGAGAAGTGTCACTGCATCTTTCACTGGTGCTGCTATGTCAGCTGTCAGGAGTGCGTGCGCGTGTACGACGTGCACACGTGTAAGTGAGACTGGACTGTGCTCAGACTGTTGGACTCCCAGTGCTGCCCATCAAAACTCACTCCTCTCCAAATCCCCTGCTTCCTCCCCTAGACAACAGCATCGACACGGCACTCCCCCTAAAGGGTTCTGGCACATTGTTGATGAACATTTTTTGTAAAAACCCTGCACTAGAAATGCTGACCAGCACACAGTTTCATTCAGACTAGATTAGAAGACCCTCCGTGATCTGACCAGTGCCCCTCTTATAGGAAGCAGCTTCATGACCCCTGTCCCAGACCCTGACACGTGCAGCATCAGGACCCCATTCTCCCCTTTTGTCTTAATTTATTTCCTCCCCTCCAGCCATTGTTTGTGGCACGTACTCAACACTTTTTACCTGTGAGATGAATGCAGTAAAACTTTCAGACTCTCTGCTTTTGTATAAAAAGCATGTTTTAACTAACACCTCATTTCTCTGGACATATTGGCTGGTTTGTTATGAAATCAACATCCACAATATAGCCTACCCAAGGAAGATTCCACTTTGTAACTACTGAACTTCAATAGACAGTAGCCTGCTGTCTGTGTAACTACTGATTCTGAGTTTGTTTTGTCCCTGTGTCTCTTCTGCACCAGTCTACAGTGGATGCCTGAAGATACGCTCCCGCCTGATTTTATAGACCTGCATTTCTGAAATATTAGCTGTGGGCTGGGACTTTTGCAGGAGGGGGCATGTGTGTGAACAAGCACGCTCATTCCACTAAACATCAATTTGTATGCACTATCCAGTTACACATCCAGGTAGTTCAAAAATTAGCTTAGACAGATTATTTTTCATGTAACCAGGTACCTTTTCTAACTTTTTTTTTTTACTCCAGCGAACCAACCATCCAACCAACCAACAAACAAATGTGTTCTTCATTACTGTAGATCTTTAGCAATAAAAGTTCTGGTCCGTTAAAGCTCCAACACAGGACTGTGCCAAAATTGAGTAAAATATTTTTTATGGAGACCTAAACCTGGATCTAAACTTGGCAATCCTATAATAAATGCTCAGATTTTTCATGCATCTTAAAGGTGTAGTATATAACTAGAAATGAAGGTCTGCCACCTGCTTATCTCTATGGATTTATTTGCCTTGAATGTTCCACATTGTGGCTTTAAACATATTATAAATACAAAATCAGTGGTGGAATGTAACAAAGTGCTTTACTTTACTTTTTACTTTTACTTCACTACATTCGAGAGTCTGTATCTCTGCTTTTTACTCAACTGAATGTAAAAGCTATGAGGGGTTTATTTTCAACATGTGTATAGTTTGAGCAAATAAAAATGAAAACAGCTCAGAAAAAAGAAATAATTCAATTTCTGTTGAACAAAATTCAGCACAAATCTTTATCAAAACCACTACATTTGAAGCTTTATTTTAATAACTTTAATACTTTTAGTTAAGTAGATTTTTTCAAGTGATACTTTTACTTTTACTTGAGTATGTTTTTGCTGTTATCTATACTTAAGCAACAAAATTGTGTACTTCTTCCACCACTTTGCAAGAAAGAGTTTAATGCCATAAAGAGGAACCTTCAGTACAGGCCAAGCAATAACATCGCCACGGAGACAAGCAGGCGGTAACCTCATTGTACTCTTCAACAAATTAAAATACAAAAACAGTCAATTTTTAATCATATTTTACGCCCCATAAAATCTTTGGCACCGTACAGAGACTATGAATCATCATCTTCTTCTTGGGGGACTTGTGACGGCATGTGGTGGCCATAAGGCAGAGTGCGTTCTCATAATTGTTTACATCTTTGCTTCGCTCCAGATTCCTCCTCAGCGGGACATGTGAGGTCTTTAATGACTGATTTATGAACTTGTATTCCTGTTACCGAACCCCACAACAACTTTTTGCTTTTACTTGGTACTGGAGAAGCAATAAGTTACAATTTGGGTCAGTAATATGTTTTTGCGGAGGTACAAATATCAGCCCATCTGTCTTCCTCTAGTGTTTTAATGAGATACAAAATTGTTACAAAACCACAGTGGAAAGCAATAGTGTGTTAAGCCTGAAGGAAAAGGCCAATATTTCATTCAGTGATTGAGTGGTGTTTAAAGGTGCGCTATTTAACTTCTACGGTGCAGGCTCCTCTACAAGCTTGTCTCCATGGTGATGTTATTGCTTTGCTTAAAATGTTCCACAGTATGGTTTAGAACATGTGTATCTTCAAGAAGACAAGGATGTGATGTGTGGAGAGGCAACCTTTCTCAAAGTAAGGATGCTTGTTCTTTTAACCAGTAAAATCAGATAAATACGTCTAATGCCATACTGTGGAACATTTCAGGTAAAACATTAAAGGTCCAATATTACACTGTTTTCTGATCTATGTTATAATGTTGTTTCCTCACCACAAACATACCAGGAGTTGTTTTGTTTCATTCACACGTTTATCAAACAAACCCTGCATATTTAGTTATTCTTCCAAACGGAAAACACTCAGTTCCACCTTGTGATGTCATGTGGTAATACAAAAAGTGCTCCACTGTGTTTTTAAACTTCATACACCTTCACTAGAATCATCTGGATGATTTCAGATCTGGAATTGTCAATCTCAACTGAAGTAAAAGTAAAAGGAGCTGTTGTATAACCCTAACCCTAACTACAGCTACCACTACATGACATCACAAGGTGGAACAGAGCATTTTGAGCTTTGGAGATGTAGACACCCAAATAATGCAAGATTACTCAGACATGTGTGAATGGTACAAAACACTACATCAGGTTTCTTTTTGAGGAGGTAACAACATTCTGACCTGGCTTAAAGCTCACAACAGTCCATTTTGTGTAATATAAGACCTTCAGCATTTATAAGAAAACAAGCAGGTAACAGAAATGCAACCAGAAATGTTACATAGTGCACCTTTAACTTAATTGGGGAGTACGTGATGTATGTGATGAAGTCAATAGTAAGCTACAAACTGAGGCCTTGTTAGGAATTGAAGAATATGTATGTAATGATGGTTAGATTATGGCACGTTGGTCTTTTGCAGTAATAAAATGGTTTTCCTACACAACATGCTCCAACAGCCCCATCCTCAAATCATTACATTTAACAATACAAATACATGTTACTAACTTAAGCTGTACTTTCTTTGAGACTTGTCTTAGCGCTGCATCATTTTCTACCTGGGCTTCCTGTGTTCAGTTCATCTTCCACAAAGTCCTAAACCTTTGCTATATCCAAAGTTTTGTACAAATGTTTTAAAGTGAATAATTCCCTTTTTATTTTATAATCGTAAATGTTATGTTTTTATAAATATTATTTATTATACAATGTATATATCTGTATGACTGAACTAAGATTATATATTTGAAGAAGAAATGGTCTCCTTGTCTTTTTGGAAAGCACACACCATTTTGATCATAATATTTTAGGATTAGTAACAAACATGTTAAATGACTGAGTAATTACCCTAATGAGAAGCTATTGCATGTGAACACAAACAACTTTTTGGTAGAAAATATCCAACTATGGGTTTCATACTGATAAAAATTTAGGACTGTTGCCAAAGGAAGAAGAAGTCAATCCAGAAGAGAAAGATGACCATGACAGTAAATGTATAAATAATGTAACTCACAAAATACAGATTTTAGTGCTACCCTTGACAAAAAGTATATATGAAAAAGAACAAAATAATATAAAACATCACTAAAATAAGTCATTTATTTTTAGATATATATAAAAAGAAAACAATATTTACCCATAATTAATTAAATCATTTCAAAACAAAACTTTTTTTTCTTCAAATTTACATTATTCTAAGATTTTTATAGATTGGAGGTTGCCTAGAAATAAGACTGGACATTGCAGTGAGATGTGGACCGTCGCCATCTTGTTCATCCCTCGTCTCTCAGCCCGTTGGACCCTCAGATACTGCAAGTGAAAGCAGACAAATCAAAGAGACAGAGTAAAACATGCAGCCACAAGAGAGCACCTGTCTACTTGGCCTATTTTTAGTCAGCGCATTAACTATATACACCATACGACTCAAAGCATGCAATGGAAAAAAAGATTCACCTTCAGTAGAAAGGTTCACTGTAACTTGTATTGGTCTCATATAACATCAAGAATTAGAGGATCAAAAACAGTATTTCGAGAATTCATTTGTTAGGACACAGCTGTATTTGACTTTATAATCCATACTGTACAAACAGAGATAATCCATGTTTTATCACACTTAAGCCTGCATTATTTGCTGCTGTGGTTGAAGTAAAAGTAACAATGCATATTTTGTATTAGTAGTAAATAGCTGACAATGCATCCAAAGATGAAAACACAGCATTTTTACATTTTGTTTACTGACAGCTGACAGAAAAACTTCAGAGATGCTGGCTACTATTGTGGTCTAACCTCACTGAAATTACATTACAATATAATAAGTGCCTTTGTGTGACAGCGTGGTAAAAAAGAAGTATGAAATTTAAGATATTCTTAACGTGATTTGTAATTCCTCAAAACTATTTAACCTGCCACAGAACATTTCTAATAACGGCTAGTAGTCTTACCATTAAAATAATTTGTATTTTTCATGGCGTGGCTCTCCTTCGTCTAATACAATCTTGAGCCAGTTCTGCAAAAATGAATAGAAACTGTGTTCGTTATTTTTGGTACAGCATCAAAAATATTAACCGTTAGTAGTTCTGCCATGCTATAACAGTGAAAATACTGGAGTTGAAAAGGCTCTTGCCCAAAGTTCTCACCTTCGTTCTTCTTCTAGTAGACTTAAAAACTTATCAACTCTGTACTTAGGCTCCATCTGCAAGAAAAGACAAACCCAAGTGAAACAGACAAGCAACAAAACAACAAACAGGACAAGTAGTTAAGTCATTCTGAAACTAGTTATCTTGAAGTGCGCATATGAGTTTAAAGGACATGGTTTAAAGGAGGGGCAGAGGAAGTCAAATTAATGGCAACCAGTGTAATAACTTATAGAGCAGAGTACAGCGCCTGCAGCCACCTCTCTGTTGTCAGACACATCATGGGCCCAGTCATGCATGCTGGAAAAAGATGAAACCCCAAAGCAAAGCGGTGTGTCTCGGTGAAGAGTTAGGGGTGTGCAGGGCGATATATGACTACCAAGTCTGTGGAGAGGCGAGCTCACTCACAGTAAGAAGGTTTCAAGTTATTTTTCTAGCACAATTTCTGGACATGTTGCCAGCACGTGATGGACACACCCATCAGAAAAGTTACTTGCTGCACCTTTAAGGTTTTTATAACAGCCAGAGCACAAGCTACATAACCTACATTCAATTCATTTGATATAAAAGTGTTGGTACCTAAAGGAAAAAAGCAATAATAAGAAAATAGGTGTAAAGTTACCCTCATGACTTCTACTGTTCTGCATGTACAGTACAAGGGTGCTTTAATGCCAATAACAAATTAAAATACACAAGCACAGATGGAGAAACTTCAAAAGAAATACAACTGTTGTATAATATGGAACATGAATTAGTATCAGATTTAGTGCCCAGCAGATAAAATAATGACTTAAATTCCCAATGCTTTCAAATAAGGGGAGACTAGATGGCTTAACACCTACTATTTATACACATAGAGTATAACATATGAGGAGCCAAGAATCTGCAGTGATCCTGAGGCCTTTGTCTTATTTTTGTTTCCACAGTTGTGAGCGCCTGTATTGTTTTAACCTGCTCATGTGTCTGCTCCCGGCAAGATGGATGTTTACTCATTGCATTTATAACGTAAGGACACTGAACTCTGGAAAAATGCATGAAATGTGTTTTTACAAATAGATTATGTCTGATTAAAGGCTTCTAGCTCTGGCTGAAAATAATTTATCAAGTGTGAAGAATTGCATTATTTGCTATAAAAATATTGAAACATGCTCTATGTAACTTTTCAGTTCTCAATAGTAATATTATAGCTTTTTCTAGAATGTTCCACAGTGTGACATTAAATTTATCCATCACCATGGAGACAAGCAGGTGGCACCACCAGACCAAGAGATCTGTGGAGAGTTCAGCCCGCACACAGTAAGAATGCATGTTTTTCAACACAGAGACAAGCAGGTGGTGTACTCTTGACCAGAAAAGTTACATGCTGCTCCTTTAATTCCTCAATCAAAGCTGCGGCGACAAAAGTCTCATCATATGTATGTTGTTAGCATACCTGTACAGCCATTCCAGTGAGCATGAGCAACTTTTTGATTCCAATCGACATATGTTGACCCTTCTCTGCTTTTGCTATGCTGGCACACTCCTGAACACTGAAACTGCCGAGCTCCTGAGGGCAACATAAAACCAAGAGATCAATACATAATAGGGCTACAAAATTAATCTCAAAAAAAGAAAAAAAAAGAAAAATCGTAACTTGCTGTTAGCAAATGGTGAACAATGCATCTAAACTAACATATTCTGAAATGTGATTCTTGTATTAGTTTTTCAATTCATATTACTGTCTTTTTACGCATCCTGGATGCATTTAAAATGTGAACGTTCAACAGAATCCCAGCACTAAACCAAATTGCACATGGTCATAAAAGCTTGTCAGAAAAATTGGAATTATATATTTTTCCTAAATCATACAGCCTTAAGACACAATGTTAAATGTACATTATGCAAATCTGCACTATTTACCCACAGTCTTTTTTAATCAGCAGTACATGCTCTAAATACTATGTAAGAGTTACCTCCAGAGCCTTGACGAGCTCCTCCACTCTGGAGATGTTGGGAATGTTAATGGTCGTACTGAACGCATCCAACATTCCCATTTCCTGAAGTACGTCTTTACAACTCGTGGTCCCGATTATCAGCAGTTTACGACCCTGAAACAACACAAAAATGTTTAAAAATAGACTCAACCCAAGCGATACTATCCTAAACAAAACATACTGCTATAATTTAGAGGTGCATTGTGTAACTTTTCTGTTAGAGGGTCCATCAAATGCTTTTCTCTATGGAGATGTTATTGCTTTGTCTGGAATGTTTCACAGTATGGTAGTAAATCTTTCTATCTTCATGGAGACCAAGCAAGGCCAAGTTACAGGTCAGATGTGTGGAGAGGCGACTCCGTCCAGTCAGAATGCCTGTTTTTCTGGTTATATTTGAACTATAAAACTGTAAGAGAAGCATTTGATGGATCCTCCACCAGAAAAGTTACAAAGTTCACCATTTTCAAATTTATAATATGTGGTGTTATTTCCTAAAGTGCACTAAAACGTGGCATTTATTAGATGCATTGATGATGATAATGATGATGCTGTAATAATTATACAAAAACAACTTCACAAGTATTTGAAACTCTTGAGAGGAGGGAGAGTTAGTGACTAACTGGAGAGTTGAAGAATAGCTGGAGCTTTATAGCTGGACTAAGATGGATCTGAACAGGATTTAAGCAGCAGAAGACGGAGGAGCAGAGGACAGGGGGATTATGGTGGCTGCTGCCCTCCCATGGCGTGGGGGTTGTGATGCTGCATGCAGATGAGGTGCCACACAGGCTGCCAGGTCCAGGCTCTCTCACAGAGTCCTTTCTCCTGGTGCCCCCCTCGGTCTCCCCCTGGTCTCCCCCCTGACTCCCCCTGCCTCCCCCGTGCCTCCCCCCAGTCCAGGCACCCCGCTGGGCCCGGAGCTTTACACCCCCAGAGGAGCACTGCAGCCAGGCATTCAGCCGCCGGCCCTGCGCCACTTCTCATGCACATGCAGCCATATAGTGGGCTATACTCTCATTCACATCCTATTAACAACAGAAGTAGGTTAAAGGCACCCTTTTGGACACACACACAAACTACAACCAAAGAAACTATGAGAAATGGGACTCAGGCTCCACTATTCACTGGAGCAAAACAGGCCTGAACCAAAACACTTGCTAATAACCATACACTTGCACAGTTGTTCACACATGCCAGAAGCAGCCAAAAGCCACAAACACGTCGCATTGGCACCCATAAGATCTGGTGCCCTCTTTTTCCTACCAAAGGACTAGCAAAATTACAATGAGAATGGTACAAATAGTTTGTGTACCTTTGGTGGGGGTTTCTTCAGGAGGACCAGTAACGCTTGAAGCACCAAGTTTGAAAAACGGGGACCAATGGGAACGTAGTCTAAAGAACAACAATATGAGCTTCAGTCGATGAAATCAACACTGAAAATGACAAGTGTAGAGAGAATGGATCATTTACCCAGCAAACGTTCAATATCGTCCACAACTACACAGCTCAGCTGGGATTTGTAGGCATCGTCAAAGATCTAAAACATAGAAAACATTGTTTTTATTTGTACTTAACTGTAAATGTGACTCTTATTTTTGGGGAGCATTTTTACCTTTTTAATGGCTTGGCATTTTGCTATTTCAGAGTGTCCGATCATCTTGTCCGGGGAACAGATCTTTATAAATGGGAAATCTGACTCTTCTGATATTTTAGCTGCCAGGGCGGTCTTACCACTGTTAGGTGGGCCTGGGAAAAGATACACATAAACAAAATAATTAAGAAAATAATTTTTAATCATTTCTCTCTGACCAGCAGGACAGTAACCCTCCTGCTTGTGTGTGGTAAAGTTAGTGTGTTACCTTCCAGTAGCACAGAGACCAGAGGAGTGCGCTCACTGTTCTGTGTCTGCTGCACCAGGAGCTTGCCCTTCTTTAAGACCTCAGACACCAGGTCTCCCCACACAACGATCCCATTCATGATGTAGCTCGCATAGTCCTCTTGGTTGGTACCAAATGCCTAAAGGTAGAAGTATGCATATTTGATTGCCAGAGTGCTTGCATTTACATGATCTTATGGTTTGTTCTGTAATTAATAGTGATTGTATTTCATGTGTATGAGATCAGTGCTTCAGTGTTACTTACAGGTTTGATGTCATTGTTTAGTGAGCCCATGAAGTCCATTCTGCAGACCTGCAGTTTCTCTGCAGTGTCTGTGTTCACCTCCACTGTGCTGCTGGCCTAACAAACACAAACAAAGTCTGGTCAGCCAATCACAAGTCACTTTCATTAGTGACTGAACTCAGTGACTGCCCTCATTAGATGATGTGCTGTAGTTTAAATGTGTCCGAGGACAATGTGGTCCCTCAGAGCAGAAAGGTCAAACAGGAACAACGTCACCACAGTCAGATGTGAGTAAGGCCCTGTCCATCACATATCATCACCATCCAATAAAAGAGCACAGGGCAGAGCTTCACCTTATCTGTGCGCCCTGTGGAGCTGTGTGGACCTGGACCCACACACCTGATAAAACACCTTACACAGGGCATACACGCCCCTCTGTTCTCCGGGCACCTGGGTGGCTCCTCTCCCTGGCACAGGAGCTAGTGCCCACCAGGTGTGTGGCCCACAACAACACAGTAAATTAGGTTAATAATTTTACCTGTACAGTTTACTTCATATCAAATATGAAGACAGGCACCACTTGGCACATTAAATCTGGTATGTTTGGACCAGATCCTGTACTTAACAAAGATTGACAATATCAATACAAATGCAGGTTTAAAGTGATTGGTGTACTCTATCAAAATGGAGGAACCTGGACTTTTCTGGGGTAAATGGACCACATTTGGCTTTAGTTCTTACCTTGATGTGCCTATTCATGGCTGTGGACTGGGCAGCTCTCACCAGACCCTCTAACTCTGCACCACTGAAGTTTTTGGTTTCTATGGCCAGCTCCTTGACGTCCACATCAGCTCCCAAAAGTTTGTGCTGCCGCATCTTTGCAGTGTGGATGTTAAGAATCTGAACACGGCCGTTCTCATCAGGTAATCCTGCATGGGACAGGATATATGACTTACAATTACTCTTCTTTAATGTGAGCATTAGGTTTATTTTATTACTACACAGAGAAAGCTGAGGGATGTCATATCAGGTGCAATTAAAACACATGGCAAAACAATGAACCAACATGTGCTAGTCTGTGCTGGATGGACCATAGTTTGTCTTTGCAGCAGATATAAATGATCTATAATAAATCAGTAAACTTCCAAAAACAAGATTTTCACAGGTGCTTCTTGCCTCAGTCAGTTGAATGCCTCTCCTAATCTGCTCCTAGTGTGACTGGACTGTGCTGTTACATGCAGCGGGCACCAGAGTACCAGAGTACTCCTTAAGATGTGTTATTGAAATCTAAATTGCAGTTCCTGGGTTTACATGCATTTTAATGGTCATTTACTTGGTTTCCATGACCTGCATGTTAACGCAGTGAGTGGTTTGAACACTGGATCAACAGTCTGGAACATTCTTTAGTGCTCACCAATCTCCATCTTCACCTCCAGCCTCCCAGGTCGGAGCAGGGCCTCGTCTATCAGGTCCGGCCTGTTGGTCATACCTGTGGGAAAGAGATGCAGAGATAGTGTGGTGTGTAGATGTGCAGGGTTTTGCCTTTATCTATGTTACACACACAGCATAGTGTAGTGTAAATACAGTAGAAGAGACGTGTGCCGATCGTACCTATGACAAGGATGTTGTTGAGCTGTTCCACTCCGTCGATCTTGGACAGCAGCTGGTTGACCACAGTGTCATGGACCCCCGTGCTGCCTGCCATGCTGCCACGCTGTTTACAGATGGCATCTATCTCGTCAAATATTATGATGTGGAGGCCACTGTTAGCACCAAGCTGTTGGACACACGTACAGGATTTGACATGTAAATAAATCATCCTGTTAACTTGAAAACTGCCACTACATACATTTTGACAACAACTCTGGCTGTGTGTTTGAGGAGGTAACAACATAGTAACATTGCTTAAAGCTATAGGACCTTTAATTCATGCTTTTGGCTTCTGGTTTTATGCAATATGTTGAAGACCTTGAAAAGATTTTGTGTTAAACTGTTAATTGCTATGGAAAAGCTCCTGTTTATTATCATTCTGCAACCCATGGATAGATTTACCTGTACTAATCTATACAACATTTGAGAGAAAAATATGTTACTAAATACATAATTGGCATAAGTGCGCGGGCAAAGGGGTGGGGGGTTATCAGTCCATCTTCTGCCCCGCCAGTCTGCCCCGTCACTGTGAGGCGTAGCATTTAAAGCAGGTGTGGAGCTGTGTACCACGTTCACAGGGGGGTCAGGGCACGCACAGACCCTCATTAGGTGGTGAAGAGTGAGACCCCACTAAAACTCCTGGTCAGAGTCAATGTGAAAACTGGCCCCTCTGCCCTGCTGCTCATTCACACACATTTTAGTTATTACAGCTCGGTCTGACTAAAGGGCAAATCTCTCAGTCAGAGGAATTAGTTTTTGAAATGTTTGTTTTAGAGTTTGTCATGTGTTTCAATTAGGATTTTCCAATAAGATTATACAGTCTCATTATGTCCATGCGTATTTGAGCGATGAAAAATTAGCACTGTTGTCATAGAAAGCGACAGTTGAACCGTCCATCTTTTTTTTTTTTTAAAAGGGCTCGTATTACATGATTTTCTGATCTATGTTATAATGTTGTTTCCTCATCACAAACAAACCTGGAGTTGTGTTTTGTTTCATTCACACAAGTTTAACACACAAACCCTGCAGATTTCGGCTGAGTTCTTCTCTCAAATAGAAAACGTACTATTCCACCTTGTGATTAAGGGTGAAAAAAAATATCAAAATATCGGTATATCGTATCGTTTAATGTGATGATACAGTATTGATATTGTGGGCTCGCCAAGAGTATTTTTTTTATATTTTACTTAATTATTCTGTTACAGTTACAGTTTTGTTGTTTGTTTAGTGGAATGAAACTCGTTTTTGAGACACATTTGACATTTTCACTGCTTTGATGCTTAAAATGTTTGTGTTTCATATTGACTTTGCACAAAAAGCGGTTTAACAAAGACTTTTAATATCATAGCCACGATTTATCCTTTATTTTTATTGAACTGTATCAAATCGATTTGAAATATATCATATCGAATCAAAAGTGCATTGTATCGAGGTATGTATCGTATCTTGGCCTATGTATCGAGGTATGTATCGTATCGGCAACTTCTGAATGATACCCAGCTCTAGTGGTGATACAGGAAATGTTCCAATGTGTTTTTTAACTCTATACACCTTCACTAGAACCACTTGGATAATTTCAGCCCTGGAATTGCTGATCTCTACTGAACAAAAGCTAAAAGGTAGCTGCCACTTGAAAACTACTGCCTCATGACATCAAGGATTACTCAAAAATGTGTGAATGAATGTTTTTATGGATGTAACATCCTTATAACACATCTTAAAGCTCACAAGTATCCATTTTGTGTAATATAGGACCTTTAATACATGGTCCCTAAAGTGTTTCCCAAATGTAAATAGCAAGCCTGCATCCATCTATACAACATTTGACTCTAATCTAGCACAAAACATCCATTATAAAACAGATCTCTAAACTAAAGTTATTCCAGATTATTGATAACATCTGTGTACTCACTCTTTTCTGCTCGTCTTCTGCATCTGCGAACAGTTTGCGGATGTTGGCCTCTGACTCGCCCACGTACTTGTTGAGGATTTCGGGGCCGTTGACGATTTTGGGCTCTCGAGCTTTCAGCATTTTGCCGATCTGTCGCGCCATCAGAGTTTTACCACAGCCAGGGGGTCCGTACAGCAGGATACCCTTCACATGCTTGCCACCTAGAAACATACAATATTGTTATTATATGATGTCAGATACACATGCACAAGATTTAACTGAATCTAAATACTGTATTATTCTTAAAATGTTTACTTGTATTTTATTGCTACTCTTTTCTTACTCATATTGCCTGCTTTTATGGGAATGTTTCTGATGATGTGATTCACAAAACTCAAGTCAGTCTTCAATAATCTGAAAATATGTAAATGTGTATAATTATGTATTATTTATTTGTAAACCAGGAAGCCATCATTTTCTTCTTTTATTAACATTATATTGTTCAAAAACACTGAGATGCAAATTATTTTAAACATGTTTGGTTGATCTTTTAATAATAATTTTCAATCACATTTAACATACATGTTCGTCTCCCTTCAGGACATTTAAGGTAAATGACACTGACTGTGGCTACATACACACTCAAAATCTCATTTAATATCAGATTTCTGGAGTTAAAAGACCATTAAAATTACATGTAAACAGCAAAATCATTCAATTAGTTTCTGATCCTGGTCCCTTTGATTTCTCACATATCATTCATCTATATCTTAAAGTTCCAGAAATCAGATTATGATTGTGGTGTGTATGTGAACAAGGCCACTACGGCACTACACCTGCAGTGTTCCTCCCAGATTATCGTCAGTCTTGTGGCTGGCCTTTTGCACCTGTTTAATGACATTTGCCAAACTAATTGAGAGGAGACAGATAACCATCTGAACTGCCATTTGGGCCTGACGAAGGAGGAGTGTCCAGCCGACAGGTGTGTGCGGGAAAAGAAAACTAACTAATGCAGCTAAAGAAGTCAAACTTATGAAAATGGATTTTGTTTCTCAGAAGTGGTACACAAGCTGTTGATGTATTTGTCTATTCTAGGGCAATAATGTGATAAAATTGTTCAATTCAAAACAGGTATGGTGAATACAAAGTAAAAACTAAATCTATTATATTTAGTAAAAAACAAATATATGTTAATGCCAGTGTTTAATTCTGAATATAGTCTACAAATATAAAAACCTCACTATACCTATTTCTACCAAATAAACTGACCTCTCTCACTACATTTAAATAATACGAGGAAATACAAAAAAGATGCCATGATATTTGACAGAGAGAGGAGTCACTAGATTTTGGGTGGGGCTGTTTTAATTCACTGATGAAGTCGGTTGTAACTTTCCCTTTATGCACAATCAGAGCAGAGATCTCATTACAGTGGGCAGCTGGTCAGTGCCACAGGCTGCTCTCTGTATAAACAAAGGTCAAAGGTCACCTCACACCCTGCTGCACACCACCAGTGGGCCCCAAGCAGCGAGCTAGTTTTAAATGACCAGTTTGTTCTGAGTTCAGATAGCCTTATCACTCATTTGAATTTGTATCAGTGGGCAAAACGTTATTGCTACTCAACTGGTGAGCTGATTTGTGCTGTTAAAAAAGTATCGCAAAAAATTACAGTCACCAACAGTTTTTCAGTTAGTCACTCTTACTTTTAAGTTGAAAATCAAACACCTAAAAAGGACCACGAACACTCGTATTGATCAAAGGCTCCAGAAAATGTGTTTTTTAAATCCATTTTGTATTTCTTCTTGAGTTTTCAGACAACCTTAAAACGTTTTTTGACTGTGTTTGCCAGTGTGTGCATTGCGTCACCATGTTAACAACAGAAATGTTTCCCCGTAGAAATACACGTAGAACACCCCCAGCATTATGTCACTGCAAAGTATCAATTGTTTAGGCTATCAAATTTCGCCTACACGATAATATCTGTCTCCATGGAGTGGTAACCTGGTAATTAAAGCCCACACAAAAATGTTCTGTATGTGATTCTTGTATTAGTTTAGTTTAGTCTTGTTTACGATGTTAAAAATGCATACAAAATCAACCTTGTTCTTTCCATTTTTGAATAAGCCCCACATCAAATAAGTAGCTGCGTATGTGTCAGATAAAAAAGCAATTAAACATATTCCAAAAATCACTCTGCTCTACTCAACAGGTTTTTACAAGAAAAGGATTGCGTAGATTAAAAATTCCAAAGGAGTCTGACTCAATAAGATTACTAGACTTTTATTATTGTTTGTCACTGCCCCCTTCAAAATAATCTGACAGTTGACACATTGTAATTAATATGTGTGTACAGGGATCGCTCTGAGCCAAACCAACAAGGGCGTTATTGAACCAGAGTTTGCTGATTCAGGCTAAGACATTTCTCACTGAAATTAGCCACAATGGTAAGTACTGTAGTTTGTATTTTGGGTTATTTAAGTGAGGCTTAATATGAAAGCTCGAGTTATTAGTGATTTACAGCATTCTTCCTCTCCTGCTCCAAATTTACACAGAAAGAAAAAGGAGTTTGTGATACTGAACTAGAGCTGAACTAAAATAGCAATTTTTTGACAAGTATTTTGAATGTGATAAGATTTGAGATACACGTTTTAAAAAGAAGGATTAGGTTCAGAGTGTGCATTGTAAACAACTCCAGGGGCAATAACATTTGAGAGAAGATTGCATTAACAACATGTTTATAGAGTTTTTTTTAGTACAGGTACAAGAAGTTTTACTTTAAAAAAGACAGGATATATTGTTATTTGCAGAGGACATTCTAATATCTAAATAACTGCACTAACAGAAAATGTGATTTCAGTTTCTATTTGATTAAAATATATTGAGCATCCCAATTCTGAATGCAAAATATTATACAAATTATACGGGGTATATTATTATGACCTTAAACAAACACGTATTAGTTCTTCTAAAGTGCAAGACAATGTTTAGCAGCAGGTGAACTATGGAAATTAAGACATTAAGAGGATTTAAAAGGGTAAAAATGGCAGTTTTTGTGAGATGTTCCTAGAGACAGTGACTAGTGTCTATGAAAAGTGTTTATGGTCTAAAGATGGAGTTATGATAGAGTTAGAGTGATGAATTAGAAGTAAATGGACGCAGAAGTTGTGTGACCTGTAACAATGTCAAGTTACAGGTCTGACCTGTGGAGAAGCGAGACCGCGGGACAACTGTAACTGAATACATGCAAGAAAAATATGGTTAATGCCATATTGTGGAAAATTCAGATAAAGCTCACCCATTTGTTCTACGATCTCCGGGGGAAACACGCGGGAGGCAAACGCTCGTCGAAAAATATCGGAAAATTCTTTGTCCAATCCTCCAATTCCCATCTCCTCGAAGTTCCAGTCTGGGCTGATAATAGACTGACGGGACTCACGTGTTTTTGATCTACCTGAAAACATAAACAATGATTTTTTAAAATATATATATTTTTTTTAATAATTTTAAATAAAATTAAGTAAGCACATTTTATATCTTTTAACTAGCTTATTGCTCATACAAAGTACAAAGTAAAAAGAAGAAAGTGCCCCCTCTTGTGTTGTTTGTGAAGTACTACAGTAAGTAAACCTTATTATTTCAATGACTTACAGTGACAATTAATACTTGTGCTATTGTTGACTCTTTAGTTTAATTATTTCGTTGGAGAAACATGCACTTTAAGACGAGTATTAAACCCCAATTCATTCACCATGGAAACCTAATGAACTGCCAATTCATTATACTGCATGAGTTCAGAAAGGCTGCCCCTCCCTGGCAACCGTAATTATTATTGACTATAAACGAATGGACAATTAAACTAGCGACAATTAGCAAATTAGCAGCAAACTCACCAGTTAGTGTTACTGCAGAGGTTTCTGACTTCTCAAATATCACCTGGCTGTTTCCAATCAACAAACCAATGTCGATCTAAAAATAAAGCAAATCATCATGACAATACAGGCTCCCTATGAATACAAAACACACTGATAATTCAAAATGTATTATAGAAGTAAAATAAGATAATAGTTAAAAAATAAATTAAAATAATAGTTAATAGTTAATAATAGTTAAAATAATAAGTAAAGTAAAATATTAGAAATTCATACCTTTGGCTTGTTGCCTGAAGCTTTTTTGCCTTTGAGGATGCTGGGGTCCATCGCTTCTATATCTTTAACCACCAGGCTAAACAGCTTGTCACAATAATTAAATACCAACTACAAAAAAAAACAAAACATATAGGTAGGTATATAAAACAAAAATATCACACATCACATTTGAACAATAAGTATTAGACTAATTCTTAATGATCATGAATGGACTTACAGCAGATGTGTGTCAAAATAATAGACAAATACATAGATTTGATAATGAAATCAGAAAGAGAGAAGAAATCAATCCTGCATATTTACAAGAACGTGTTTTATCTTTTGCATTATCTTGTGTTTTAATATGCAATGCCCCTTTAATAAATAAATACAATATAATGGAAGGAATTATAGACAATGCTTTGGACAGTGGGATGGTTTTGTTTGTATACAGTATGTCTACAACTGTAACTGTCTAAATGTGCAAGTGTCTTTATGTTAATTTAGATCTCCATGTTTGTGTTTCGTTAATCATTGTTTTGTTATTTTATTTATTTAAAGGTGCATTGTGTAACCTAACTGGTGGAGGGTTGTCAAATGTTTGTCTCTATGGAAATGTTATAGCCTTTTCTGGTATGTTTCAAAGCTCTACTTTACACTTATTCAATCACAAGTGGTTTTATAGCTCAAACATATCTAGAAAAACATGTCTTCTGACTGTGAGTGGGGCTGCCTCTCCACAGATCTGACCTGTAACTTGGTCTGCTTTAGGCTGAATCCCATTACACCCCTTGGCCACACCACTTTCCCCAGCCCTCCGTTTTGCGCGTTCAGGTGTAGGGGCAGGGGTGTTCAGTTACCGTTATGGCAGAGGCGCAGGGGAAAGTGGTAGAGCTATATTTTTCAGAGGCACACTCCAAACAGAGGGGTATGAGCAATTTCCCAGAAGGCCTTGCGAATCACCGGCAAGATTACAAAAGCTTGTCGCTTTTACTTATGTAAACGTTGGCGGAGACTACTGATGATGCATGTGACTGTTGAAGGGGTGTCCCAATTCCTAAGGGTTTACTTTCAACTCCTACCCCTTCATGCTCAGTTTCAAGGGGCAAGGGGTAGAAATTAGAAATGGGATTGGCCCTTAGTCTCCATGATGATAGAAAGATTGAACCGCCGCCATGAGTTACACAAAGCACCTTAAAAATGAAAAACTTAATAAATATTTGAGTTTAAAATAAAGGATACCTGCTGGCCGACGCTGAAGGCCTGGCTGTTGAAATGCTGTACAAACTCCGCGTTCATTTTGTCAGTGTCGTAGGGATTACTGTCGACACTCTTCTTTTGTAGGAAGTCGATTTCCATTGTCACTGAGCTAATACACTGTCTGGTCTTATCGAACCGGTAGACTGACACTAGAAAAAAAACAGAAACAACAGATAATAGATGTAGCATGCATGTGTTGGTTTAAATAAGAATATTCAATCACATCTGAACCTAGGATGCCAAATTTGTGTCATATTCAGAGATTTCAGTTTCCTGTTACGTGCTACATTTTGAGGATTTTCTGTTTCAGGGTGTCTCCAGGTTTGACTACCCCAAATTTAAGATTTTTTAAAGACCTTTTTAAGACCACTTAAATGAAAATTAAGACCAACATCGCACCCATTATGTGGGGGGAAAAAACAGATCCAATTCTAATAATGACCAACAAACCACTATATCTAGAATCTAAGAGCCAATGTGGATTAAACCTACACTTCCCCATGATCTATCCAACATCTTCCTCCACTCTACTGATTGTTTAGTCATTGCCACCAGCTCCAAAAACCAAAATATTGTTTGTGTATAGTCCAAATTAGACATTTATTCATGTTACTTGATTTCACATTGTTGTTTTTTTTCCTCCCTCCATTTAACATTTGCACTGCAGACCGGTTGAGTATACAAAAAAACAGGCTAATGAAATTTAAGACCTTTGTGAAAAAAATAAGACTTGGACAACATAATTTAAGACTTTTTAAGGCCTTAATTTGGGAACTTGAAATTTGAGACCTTTTTAACAGTTTTAAGATCTTGCGGCTAGAGAAGATATAATTTTAAACTGTTAAGCTCTATGGCAATGATACTAATTTAGAAACCTTTGGACACTTGGATAGTCCCATGTACCTATGGATGGATACTTTGAATTGTTGTAACATGGAGTAAGGAGCTCATTCTGTTTTCTGATTGGATAATTTACTTCAGCAGCAAAGCAGAAAATTAAAAATGTGTTTCTAGTTTTGCATAAACCAACATTACACTATAAATAAAATAAATAAAAATACACTTCCACTATGTATGAGCATTACCAGAGTTTTATCAACTATGTCAACCATCAAAGCCATGAGAAAAATCCCCTTTAAATAGCTAATGCAGTGAAATGTTGTCCAGTGTTTTAAATAAGAACTGACAGGGTGTTCCCATGGGCCCTTTGATCTTCAGGTAATGCTTAGTTGACGGTTACCACATGTATTCATCTAACTTCTTTTTATTTTTTTTACTCTTGGCAAAGTGACAGCATTGCAGTTGCTTCAGTCATGGGTATGTGCGCAGGAGCAGCCCAAGTGTCAATCAAAAAGTAAGTCTTCTTTTGATGTAGGGCAAACTTGGACAGGTGTGCAATGATGCCACCCACTGGTAACATTAGGGTGTTGCTTATAGTGCTGTAAAGAGTCTGTTACTTTATATACATTACATACAGTTTTTTTTTTTTTTAAGATTTCTGAGCTGAAGAAATGCTTAAGTGTTAAGGAGAGAATAGGGCATATTTTTGTACCCACTCATTTTACTATGCAAGTGTTTCAGACTGAAGAAAAAAACTGTACTGTTGCCATAGAAATTAACAATTCAAAACAAATATATCTCCAGTTAAAGTACTCAAAAAGGCACTTATAAACAGGAAGCATCAATGACTATATTCTAAACATTTAACAAAGCACAGCCAAAGCAAAGAAAGTACAGTTTTTGTAATACTCATCCAAAACCCCCTTGAATCCAAGTGTATTTCTAATGAGCCTGTTTATCAGCAATACATAAATGCAGGTATAAAATCAGCATCATCGTGTGTATATATCTCACCTTCTACCTCATATCCAATTGCGAGTCCGGCCCATTTTCTCTGTCAACAAACAAGCAACAAAGTCATTATTTTGCTCGACTACAAATTAAACAGTCAAAAAGGGAAAGATCAATCAAAATCTGTAGCAAAAAGGTTCAAATGAGTCAAATGGACCAAGTTTTTAGAGTAAAACATTTGACAAAGTTCCACCTTTTTGCTAAACAGTCTAGTGACTATAGATATGAATATTACAAAAACAAAAATCTTAGAGAGAAAGCAACATAGCAGTTGGCATATGATCCTTTTAACACAAACAGCAGTAATTCACTTCGTATTTATTCAGATTTAATTTGCTCTTGTTTTTTAAAAATAGAAGAGAATGCAGTATAAGTTTGTCTAAATTTTTAAAGCTCCTACATTATGCAAAATAGACCCTTGTGAACTTTAAGCCATGTCAAAATGCAGCCCTTTATTATTAGTCTGTCTACATCCCCAAAGCTCAAAATGCTCTGTTCCACCTTGTGATGTCATGAAGTGGCTGTTTTTAACAGCTACATTTTATCTTTTGTTCAGTAGAAATTGGGAATTCTAGGACTGAAATCATCCAAGTCATTCTAGTGAAGTTGTATGGAGTTTAAAAACACAGTGGAGCACTTCCTGTATTACCACATGACATCACAAGGTGGAACAGAGTGTTTTCTGTTTGAGAAAAGAACACACAGGTCTGTTTATGATGAGGAAACAAAATTATAACATGGATCAGAAAATAGTAAAATATGTGAAATTACTACAACTTGTTTGGGTCAAATTGTGCTGAAAATGGAGGAAATTGTTTATCCATTTATGTCATACTTGGATACAAACCAGAGTACTCTCATTGGTTTTGTGTGATTTTAAATGTTAAAACTGCACTGTTCAAAGCTTGTGAGCAGGTTAGAATGATCTGTCACAATGCTATTATAGTGAATGGTACAGTCCCATAGCAATTGCTGGATTGTCTATTTTGTTGCCAATTTTAAATCAGTGTGAAAAAGACCAGTCTGCTGAGGTTGCAGTAGTACCTTGAGTCTGTAGTTGCGGCCAAAAGTTTAGATGAAGGAAGAGAAGCCAGAGAGAGCGAAGTGAGAGAGGAAAAGCAGTGACACACACAGACCGAGCGAAAAGATCAGCAGAAAACAATATTACAGCACAAACTTTAAGGCAGTGAGGGGAGATTTTAGTATGTAAAAACTCAAATATAAAATAAAAAATAGAAATATACACTAAATTAATGTTTAATTGTATATGATTAGAAGCAGACCTGTGGCAAACTGAAGCCGATAGACCCAGCAGCCATACTGGGATGTGTCCTCAAGGTGAACACAAAAGTGTGGGCTCCATTGCGAACAGTCACATGTCTGAAACAGGAAAACAAGTTAATGCACAATCTCAGACAGAAAGACCTCTAAATCAATCATATCAACCATGATTATTTTTAAAGGAGCACTATGTGACTTCTCTGTTGAGGGTCCGCAATGTTTTGGTTGGCATGGAGATGTTACTGTTTCGACTGGAATGCTCCACAGTATGGCATTACACTTATTGTACTTTTATTACTTAAAACATACATTTAAAAACATACATTCTTACACTAACTTAATTCCACAGAAACTGAAAAATGTTATGCCGCACTGTGCAACTTTCCAAAAAATAGCACAAAGATGTCAACTTTACTAGCAGATGTAAGACTCTCGACCAGAAAGGTTACATAGTGAGTCTTTAAATTCATTTATGGTTAAAAAATTAAATACCTAAAAACAAATAAATAAAAGTGGATTTGTTTAATGGCATTATTAATTATACTGAATTCTGTTGTGACAATGTCTTTTACAGCTTTTCATGTTCTTTCTGTAGGATCTTAAGTATAAAGTAGATCAGCAGCATCTAGTGGTGACTTGGTAGATTACATTTTGCTCCAGGATGTAATTCTCCCTGAAATATAAAATGTACAGTGTTATTGTGACACTCACTCTAAATTATCTAACTGCTGTTCCTTTTCATTGATGACAGCACAGTTAGTCAGCGACAGCTCATCAGTCGGGCATTTCGCCGCTATCATAATCTGTAAATTAAACAAAGAAAAAAATATAAAGGGTTATAGAGACATAAAAGCAGCCATAATATTAAGATTGTGCATTACATGTTCAGTATAACCAATACAGTACAAGTTCTAATTACAACTAGATTAACTATCAGATTAATAGTGAAGAATCAATTATTTAATGAATAAATAACTCACTTTAAAATTGATAAAGGTTATATGTAGTAAACACATTCTTGTTTTGTATTTTACTGTATGTACGGATGCTATGTCCTTGATTTAGTTATGCCTTTTTTTTTTTTTTGTAACTCTGCTACTGTCCCTGCCTTTTAATTACCCCTTTGGGAATAAAGTGATTGAATTGAACAGACTCTAACATGTGCTGGAAAGGTTTTCAATCATAAAACACAGTGTACACAAACTGGAAGTAAGATGTTTAATTAAGTTGGCATTTTATATATTTACATTAGAAATAATAGTTTGACCAACAACTCAAATAAAAATTGCTGATCAGTTGATTATTGGTTTTATAATTAGTTGCAGTCTTTAGCCCTTCACTGTATTCTACCCATAATTAGCTCACTGAAATGTTACATACTGTGTTAATACATACACTTGCAGGAGGAAGTTGCAAAAGACTGGGTATGATCTCTCACTCATTATTGTTCCCATAGAGATGTCCTTATGCGTGAAGTCTTTGGTCTATACCTTTAGGACCGCTTCATAATGAGTTTCTCCAGGACACTGCCAAATGCTTACGAAGGCATTTTAGACCTTACTGGTTGCCAGACACAGCAGTATTTCTATTGTACATTATTATGCACATTACTAGGCCTGTGCAAATACTGAACTTTCAAGATGTAGTATGGTTATTGTGGCTTGCTGTATCAATATATATCATTATGGGTATTTATTTGTATCTTTTCATAAATTATTCTGTGACCATGCTACAATTTTGTTGCATTTTTAGATGAAGGAAACTGGTGCATGCGATACATTTGACATATTCCCTGTTTTGATGTTTAAAGTGGGTGTATTTCAAATAAGAGTTGTGAAGGTAGAGATTTAACAAAGAAATACAATTATTAAAATGTATTTTGCTGTTAAAAAATTGTGATAAATCATGTGCAATATATATCAATTATCACATGTACTGTGTAACATATCAAAATGTGAAGGACCCTGTGATTTCCAGCCCTACATATTACTGATAAATAGGACTACTGTATACTTCACCCAACCAACTAGGGGTGTGCAAAATATTGAAATATCGATATATCACATTGTTTAATGAGATGATACAGTATCGATATCATGGGCTGCTGTATCAATATATCGTCAAGAGTTTTTTTTTAAAATATATATTTTATTAAATTATTTTGTAATAGCGTTTTGTTATTTGTTTAGTGGAAGGAAACTCATTTTTGCAATACATTTGACATATTCACTGTTTTGATGTTTAAAATGTGTTTCACATTAACTTTGCAGAAAAAGTGGTTTAACAAAGACTTTTAGTAACTCAACCATGATTTCGCCCTGATTTTTTATTGAATCGAATCGAATCGTAAGCTCAGTGTATCGAGGTATGTATCGTATTAGCAACTTCTGAATGATACCCAGCCTTACAACCAACCCAGTTAAAACTATTAACATTGTGAAAGTTATAGGTCCATGAAATGCAGATGAGTAGTAATAACATGAAAACCCAGGGAAATCTATTCTGACTAGTTTTGAAAAAGGTAGACTAGGAACTCACATCTATTTAATTTTCAAAACAATACCCAGTCTCTTTCAATTTCTCTGTATAAAGTATTAGTTTGTTTACACTAAGTTCTCCATGGGTTTGTCTGGCTGCAGCTCAAGGCAGGTTACCCTGATGATTATTTTGCATAGGACTCATTTCAATGGCGTTTGTTTACATTACTCAAAGAAGCTGACGTTGGAAGTGCTGTGCTGTAAACTTCCTTCATTTTGCTTTCATATGCTTTAGCTTAGCTTGTTGCATTGTGCCATTGTGTGGAATGTGAAAACTGGAGCAATCACGTATAAACATATGCGTTTTCTAGTAAATATCTAGTAAAATATGAATAAAAGAGGAGATGTGTGTTTTTTGATGCTTGGAGCTGGTCATGGGATCCCCGGTTCGTCTTCCGGGCTGATTACGAAGTTTTGAATGACATCTGATTCTGCCGCACAGGCTACTGTTGTGCTGGCTACTACTAGCCTCCACAAATAGCCTTTTCTCTGCCCAAACAGGGACCCTTTTCAAATCGGATAGTCTATATATGTGGTAGAGTAAGTTTGTAGTAGTTTTCCCTTACCCTAGCGGCCATCCTTCGCTTTTATCCGCGTTGGTTTAAATGCACTTCACTTCATGTACGATCCGCTGACAGAGGCTGGAAACGAGGAAAGCTGGAAGTGGGCGGGACCTCCTGTGGGCACGTCATTACGTACACGTCACGTAACTTTCTCACTTTTGCTTCTTGGAATGGGAAAAAAATACAAATCTTAAAATGTTTGCAGAATGATGTTTGGTTTAACATCAACGCTCTTAACCAATAAAAATGCAGTTAAAACACTAGCTGTCAAAAAAGGTAAACAAGGGCATTCTTTCCAGTACTAAATAATCCCTCCAGTACCAATACTGCAAATTAAAGGGGCTCTAGATAACTTTTCTGATGGAGGGTCCACCACCTGCTTGTGTCCATGGAAATGTTTTTTTTTTTTTTTTTTTATTATGATTGATGCAATCAGGTAACGTTACTGGTCAGATTTGTGAAGAACTGACTCCGCTCTCAGTAAGAATGCATGTTTTTAAAAGTATCTTTTAGGGGAAACTAATCTAGTCTATTACTACCTGTAATAGACTAAAAGCAAGATAGACAAGTTTAATGCCATATTGTAACATTCAAAGCAAAGTTATAACATCTCCATACAGGCTGCTGATCCCCCACCTGAAAAGTTCCATAGTACACCTTTACCTGAACATATCCGTTAAGACAAAAGAACTGACAGTGTATTCCTTGCACCATGTGGAAAATGTACCTCTATATTTGATGTTTTTCCAAGTTCTGTAGCTACTAAATAACATGGAGGACCATAGTCATTAAAATACAAAATATTTATTTTGAAAATGCCTTTAGAAGAGAAACAAAACCAAAATAAGATGAAACCAAATCAAAACCATACAAACGGTTTGGTTACTAGCATACCACACTAGTGCTAGGAACTAACGATGAAGAACTGCACACTTGGGAATATTGGACAAAAGCTCAGAGGTTCACCGCCCTCGCCTCCGCTCTTTTGAGTAATATTTCGCCAAGAGGCAAAACTAGTGCCCAAAACTGGCACTAGTGGTGACATGGCATCCTGTTTCTTATATAAATTTACAGAAGCGGGGGCAGGACATGTGGCAACCATTCAGATTTCATTTCAAAATTATTAACAAAAAAAAACACAAAATCTGAAACAAAGTGTTTAATACATATCTGAAATACAGCGGGGTCTTTACTGTTGGCATTGATATGGAAATGAAACGGAGCTAGAGGGAGCTCTTCAGACAAGATTTCAACATCCCAAAGAAGTATCCCGACTTTCCAAAAATGGAGCAGTGTGCTTCTGAAAGATATTGACAAGTGAAAAGCCCTGTTCCTCCTTACAACAGTAGCAGAGTCTGAGGCTGTCAAAGTTGTAGTGAAGATCGAACTTATGAGAAAGATATATGTATTCTTTAAACCTTTGAATATTTTTATTGTGGTTGTACAATATTCCCTGATGGCCTGAGCTGGCCGCTGAGTGTTACAGAATCCTGAAGACTTATCAAAACCAAAAAGGAATAAAACGGGTGATGAAATAGTCCATAGACGGGATGGGAATTTGATGGGGGAATCCTGTTTGTTGCAGTTCATGGGACGTTGTGGCTCTCCCTTGTCCCCTTCATAAAATGTTACACGCTGGTCAAACACACACAGTTCCTCCATCACACGGGACATGGTCATCTGCTCTGTGAGAAAAATAAAAATGTAAGTATCAGACATGCCATATAGGTCACATCATAGATTTTTCTAAATATAACTTGGTGGGACAGTGTCTGTGGTTAATATTTATCATAGTTTTATCAGTTAAGTAGTAGTTTGTGGAAAAATAGTTATAGGAGAAGCTAACCAAGACACTGAAAACCTACACTAAATACCAATATTTGTATTAGTTATGGAATTACCTCTACACGTGTCACAGTAAATTCTTAGATATAATTATGTTAACCATGTTTTAGTGAAATTAGTAGTCCAACTATAGAACAAGATATTCTTACCTATGTTAACTTCTTCGCTTTGTTGTAAAGTGAGTCCACGACTTTGCTCATGTTCTGAATTGTTTCCAAGGCTGCCTCGTATGTTTTGTCGACTGGAGGTTCTTCAAATATGATCAATACACCTTCACCCTGATCAAGGATCCCTGTAACATTGTGAGGAAAAAGTTAAATATGTTAAATAGAGTGCTTATTTTAAGAAGGCGAATTACACTTTAAAACTGTATGTACCGTGAAACTTTTTGTCCAGGATCATCTGTGATAGTTTCCTCTCTACGTCTCCCTATGAAGAGACAAATGGACAACACAAGAATTTTAAAAAATGCTCAAAACAAACTACAGCAATTTATTTTTAATATACATACACATCTCTTATACTCACCTTTGACAATTTGATTAACCCGGATATGTGTTCTATCTGTGAAGAAAAATGTGTGTTAGAAATCTAAATAAAAAAAAAAAAATAAAATAAAAAAAGAATTACATTTCGATAGGACAATTGATGGTACCTGTACTCTGGAAAATGGTTCAATGACTCGAATAAGGTTCTGCTCCAGCAGGTTGTCGTACAGCTTGGCCAGGTGAGTGTTGATGATCGGGTCGTCCCGCAGCTCAGCTTTGTACTCTGTTAGGGCCTGGGGGAAATCAGACAGGATGATAAGTTAGAATTGAATAGTGCCTTGACAATGGATGCACTCACAAATAAATAAAACATTCTCACCTTTTCAAAGTCTGCTAATGATCTGTTCTTACTGGCCTGGGCAACACATTTCAGTGCATCTGTCTAAAATATGAACAAGAAAGATGTTTATTTTAAAAGAACAGTAGAAAAAGTGACTGTACATTATGATAACTGAGGTTTACCTGGCGACCAGCATATCGCAGCGCAAGTTTACCACTGATCAAGGCTTGTACCTCCTCTGGTCTATAATACAAAACAAAACATTAACAGTGGCAGTGTCTGTACTGGTGAGTTTTAATAGTACAACGATTATAAATACAGTCATGAATACAATCTTGCAGTCTTTCTTTTTGTTCATGTTTCAATATGTGGAAAAAATAAAATCATTAGACCATTACTAGCTTAAAGTCAGATTCCTGATCCTTCTTAATCTGATGGGGAAAGGCACAAACTCTCAGAATTGTTAACCTATGAGCAACAGTACAGCTTCAAGGACAAAGCTTCCTGAAAAGCCAAGGCTCTTCCCTTCATTCAAAGGTGAGGTCACAAACTGATAGGGGATTGAAGACAACAACAGTTCCAGCCTTTCAATGAGTCAAATGAGTCGTAAAACGAAAGTTACTGCATGTAACTACAATTCTAGGAATCCCAGGTGACTGTCAGACAGTGCTTTGAGGAGAATTAAATATTTCTATATAAGTAAGAAATAAAAATGCCCTCTTCAACTTATCTCTTCTGTAATTTCTTTTACTTTTGAAATTCTATTGGAGATCTGTTTTAATTCACCTTATCTTTTAGAGTAAAATACTTTAATTAGTAACTTACGAGTTGAGGACAATTTTGCAGAGGAGCATGTATTTGAGCGATGTGATGGCTTTGGGGCTGTCGATGGAGTCATAGCCCTCAAAGGCTTCAAAGAAGTAGGAGTAGGCCGTTTTCCAGTCCTTCTCCTCAGCTGCATGGATGATCCCTGTATCACACATTACTGTTAACATCTGCAGTAAACCTTCACTACATTGTCCATCAGGGTTGCACAGTGCTCTGACCTGACTGCATGTCGAGAGCTGCCTGGAGCTTTGGTGGACAGTAGATTGCATTGGCGGTGGTCCTGGCGGAGGTGAGGGCTGCACGGGCTTTGGGGAGGTTACTGAGAGCGTGGTATGTCTTACTCTCCAGCAGCTGAACCTCCACGAGCAGAGCTTTGTCATCCATCTTTTTCAACTCCTGCAGCAACTGAGAGCCTTGGACCCAGAGCAAGGAAAGTATAGTCACACATTTGAATACACAATACTCATAGTAAGAGCATTATATTAGATAATAACAAAACCTACCAAGTGCCAGAGCCTCTTGATACCTTTTGGTGTCAAAATAGAGCGAGATCAAACGGGCCTGAAAGAAAAGCAATTTCAATGAGTGTGAGTTGTTTTGCTTGGATAAAATGACTCACTTAAGTGTTAGACATAAATGACTAAACAAAATATATAAAAACTTCTATTTAGCAAAACAAAAGGTCATTAACTATAGGAAATGCCTTTGTCATGAGAGCTCAGCATAAGTTAACACCAGCCTTGCTAAATGAGCCAGAAAACTGCAAACCAGTCTTTCACGCCAAGCTTGTATTTGTTCTTCCTATCATCCATCAAAATTAAGAAGCTTTAAAATAAGATTATAGTAAACAAAATAATATTTTTAAATGTAGTTCACCTCCAAAGCTTGTCGTAGGAAAGTTCTTTTCTCTGCCTTGGCCCACTCGATGCACTCCAGACACAGCTCCACCTCCTGCCCCGTAGCTGCCTCCATGTCCAGAAAGAGGTCGAGCAGAGAGCGCACCAGACGGGCTGCCTTCGCCTTGCTGATGGAAATCAAGAAAGGCCGGACGAACTTCAACAGGCCTCCCAGTTCTAAAATGAGTATACCAAGTTGATTAAAAAAGTCCATAACAGTAACAGCACTAGAATTTCTTTACTTAAAATATATTTAAATGGTCACCTGCAGCCTGCCCCGTCTTGGCCAGGAGTGTCCCCAGCTCCAGGATGCTCTGTTCTTTAACCCTGACAGCCTCCTCATCGTTCTCTTGGACATCTCTTCTCACTATTGTACAAAACATTAAAACAAATCAGTAAATTAATAAAATATTTAAAAATAGGCCTTTTCATTAGGAGTACATTGAGGACTTTAATAAATAAAATACACAGTGTTTCTATCATAGTATCCACCTATTGGCCACACATTTTAAGTTAATAAAACGCAATTTACATGAAATAAAACACATTTACATTAAAAACATTTAATCTAACCTGGCAGTATATACAATGTCCTATTTTCCAGTGAGTAAGGTTGGAGGTGGGAGTGAAGACATTTGGATGATTGTTCACAAACACTCACATGAACACAAGCAAATAGCAGTTTGACAATATTGGACAATATCTTACTTTAAATTAATTATTAAAGCTATAAAAACAAATAAAAGTTGATGACATTAGTTGAGATTTACGGACATAAACACTGTCTGACAAATGAGGTAACTGACAGCTACTGTAGGCTAGTGTGACAAGGCAATTTGAGGACAGAGTTTCCCGAGTTATCGAGAAAAACAACTGGACAGACCAGTACGTAATCGGATGTTCAATTTCATAACACTGCCATGTTAATTTTTCCTAATGACTGAAAGCTGTTCATTATGTTGACAATAAATTCCGAGTTGACCACAGCCAGGCGCTTTTGACAACAGGCTAGCGTTAGCGGTAACATGCTAACGGCCTTTAACTTCACAAGAGCTGGCAATGTCAACAAACTACACGAAATAAACACTAACTGATACTATCACACTGATCCCAGATGCAGTACGTGATTGGTTGACTTATTTACCACACAGGCCTACAGTTAGCCTAAAAGCTAACTAGCGGTTCCAAATGCATCTCCGTTGTACAGTGAGTCAGCACGGCACTCACCGGTACCGCTGAAGCTAGCAGCTATTCCGTCCGTCAAAATCAAAACACTACAACCACCTTAGACCTGTAACATCATGTCACATACTAAACCAGAAAATCACACTTGCCGATGGAGTGGAGAATATCGATAGAGGCGTTGCGATCCGTGCTAATGAGAGACTGTGCTCTCTGAAATTCAACCACCGCTGCAGCCGCCATCTTCCTTATTCAAATGCTGCCTGAATGAAAACTACGTACGCAGACTACGTTACCTAGCGCTATGACGTCAGCGCGCCGCTGGCATGTCGGGAAAGAGAGGCTGCTGGGAAATGTAGTAGTCGAGGACAGTGATTTGTAAGAACCATACAGTAATGGTAGAAACAGCCATATAAAGTGGGAGCGTCAGCAGTAGGTCTCGTTACACCAGATCATTTGTAAATCTGACTGTAAATAACTGGGTGGATTTACATTTTATATTGGATTATAGAGGATTGGTAGGCTGATAAATTTCTTGTTGGACACATGCAGGTGCTATGCTAAAAATAGAATATGATGCTATCCCAGTAGGAAATGATTGCATAATTATTAGGCTATTATCATTATAGGGCCTGTAAACAACCATTACTAATAGGCCTAGGGCTGTGCAATTAGCCTAATCAAATTTTAATTGAGATTCATTAGGCTATATGATTGGGGCGTTTAAAAGGCTTTTTTTTTTTTTTTTTTTGTAATCATTATAGTTTAATATGTTTATGCTTTGGGCCTAAAAAGACAAAAGAGTCTCTACAGTATCCACAAATAATAACAAGAAGCAGCTCAGGGTTCACCGGGTTCGACCTGCTTCCTGCCTGTGTTTGTGTGTTTATAGACCAACACATCCGCGCTACAGTCAGAAGACAGAGCACAAAGAGAACGCAGAGTGGCGCTCCTTCCCCGCCTTTGCGTCAGCTCGTGTCTGTGCCTCGCGCACACACAGCGGCGGTCCTCTCAGCATCCGCATCTCAGGCAGAGGACCTGGACCACATCTTCATCTCAGCATCCATTCCGCTGCTGTGCGCTGCACTGTGCACCATCACTGTGCACCATCACAGGCGCGGCGCTCTCTCCTCCACTCGGATTATTTACCTTTAGTCCATCCACCAGCGACATGGTTTGAGTTTCCTCGGAACTGATTCTTTTTTACGGAAAACAGGTTTCAGTGCGAGAGGAAAGGAACATCGCAATCAGCCTCTTTTCACCGAGAGCAACAGATCTGGTGAGTACAGTAGCCTAGCCTATAACCCAGACTCATTCTCTATGGGTCGTGTTTATTTACGTTTTAATTATTGTTTAGTATTTTTACAGTCTTGTTAGAGTGACCTAAAATAGTTAATCCCAGTGGATATTCAGATTCAGAAGATTCGACTAAATGTCTTTGATGCAATAGCCAATTATTATTATCATTATTATTATTAGGTTCGTGGTTTACACATTGAGGTGTGCATCAGAATGAGATGTTGTTGGGGGAAGGCGTTTTTATCCGAGGCAAAGCCACCGCCTAACGTACAGTGAAGCTGCTTCGACGCGCATCTCAGTTTCGGTACCTTGGAGAGCTCCCGATGTACACAGCCTCATATTCAAGACAGCACGCACTAATATTGTGAAAATAGCACAGATATTATAATTTCAAATACTTCTTAACATTACTAATTTAATAGAATAGGATTTTGTAGTGTTTTTTCTAGATAAATAAGGAAAAGTCGATGCACAGGAACTGTACGTAGACACTGCAGCGCCGAAAACACGTTTTCACAATACAAGTCCATAAATACAGGTTTTTGTGAAATACGATCAGTCCTGTGGCTTTAGTCTTTTTATAGATACAAAATGCCGTAAAAGGAGCAGCTCGACCTTCACCTGTGCCTACTGGATTGTTGTTTACGGTACGAGCTTCCATTTTAGTGAAGGGGGTGGTGCTTGGCTCACTCAGGCTTGGCGGCCATTGCTATGAAATATGGATTTTCTTATGAAATATATATGGATTCACTGTAGGGGAGATTTAAATGCACGGATGTAATGGTGATGTCGTTTTCTATAAATACATGTAACTATGGTTTTAGCATAAAAGCCCGTATCTGTTTGGCTGTCTGGTGGTAATAATAAAACTGTGCACGGGTAATGTATGCAAATAGGCCTACAGTAAGATGGCACAGTGATATGGTTTCCTGCTTTGTGCACACGACACTGAGATCTATACAGTCTGAATTCATTAGGTTAAGTTATATGCTGATCTATCCCACCACTTACTGAGTCAAATCAATATTAGTAATAAGCCTGAGGGTCTGTCAGATGGAGCACTTCTGCACACTTTAATGAGGGCACTGCAGACAGTAAAGAAGGCTGTATGTGGTGTTTGTACGCTTAGATATAGGCCTATTGTCCCCTTAGAATCATATGTTTCTATGTGTTATATTCAGTTTAGCTGGTTTATTTTCACTTGGTAGAAAATACATCATAAGATACTTTTAGAATATAAATTGCGGTTACAAAAACACTTCCATGTCTAATAAACAGTGCAAAATTCATGTTTCTAGAGTATATGAGATGGTGAAATGCATTTATACAAACAAAGTTACATTAACTTTAAGAGGAAATAACATGTAGAAGTGCAGTTTTTCAGAAGCAGGCATTTTAAAGCGTTTTTAATCTGTTATTGTGAAAGCTCTGGGTGGTTCAGGGATATGAGAATTACATTTCTGACCACTAATGGATGAGAAATGGGTTTTTGCTCATATAAAGCTCAAAAAATGACCAAACCCTGCATGATAAAAGTGTAAAGAAGAACAAAATTTTGACCAAAACATTAGACGGAACCTTAAATCTATAATAATAATAATTCTAATTCTATGTTTGCTGTGTATTCTTTCTGTGTTCTTATCTTGTGTGCTGTGCTGTGTTTTTCAGACTCACCTGGATATCATTTGAACTCCTTTAGATGATCTGTGGAAGTCTGTAACCCGGGACGAGGTTCTACCACCCCCAGGTTCTCCTTGTTTCTCCAAATCCCCGGACGCCTCCTCCTCCGCTGAGTTACCATGGGAACCGTGCTATCTCTGTCCCCGAGCTATCGCAAGGCGGCTCTGTTCGAGGACGGGCCTGCTACAGTCGGTCACTACACGGCGGTCCAGAACAGCAAGAACGCCAAAGACAAGAACCTGAAACGCCACTCGCTCATTAACGTGCTGCCATGGAAACGCATCGTGGCGGTGTCGGCCAAAAAGAAAGGCTCCAAGAAGGTCCAACCCAACGGCACCTACCAAAACAACGTGACGCACCTAAACAACGAGAACCTGAAGAAGTCCCAGTCGTGCGCCAACCTGTCCACCTTCACCCAGGACCAGAGCACCCCGTCACTCAACAAAAACGCCAACAATATCGTATCGTCGGTGAAGAAAGCACCACTCGCCAACTCCAATGTGGCGCCGGGGACCCCCAAAAGAGTCATTGTCCAAGCGTCCACCAGCGAACTCCTGCGCTGTCTGGGGGAGTTCCTATGTCGGCGTTGCTATCGACTCAAACACCTGTCTCCAACTGACCCTGTCCTCTGGCTTCGCAGCGTGGACCGCTCGCTACTGCTTCAAGGCTGGCAGGACCAAGGTTTCATCACCCCAGCCAACGTCGTCTTCGTGTACATGCTGTGCCGCGATGTCGTATCTTCGGAAGTGGCCACAGAACACGAGCTCCAAGCTGTGCTCCTCACCTGCCTCTACCTGTCCTACTCGTACATGGGTAACGAGATCTCCTACCCTCTCAAGCCCTTCCTGGTGGAGTCGTCCAAGGAGACATTCTGGGACCGCTGCCTGTCCATTATAAACCTGATGAGCGCCAAGATGCTCCAAATCAACTCAGATCCGCACTACTTCACCCAGGTGTTCGCAGATCTGAAGAACGAGAGCCAGAAGGAGGAGGAGAGAAGCCGTCTGCTCATCGGGCTGGACCGGTGAGGGGATGCCTGGGGTGGTCTTACAGGGAGGGGGGTAGGCGGGTGGGGGTACGCTAGTCTGGCATTTTGACTGGTGTTTGTTTGTGGGGATTTCCGATGCTTTTAATACTGTTGTTGAAGAAGAGAGGGACACGTGGCATATCTATAGGTTTCAGAATGGTGAAATATTAGGACTGGTACCATAACGATTCACAATTTAAAGCTAAATATTATATACTTTGAATGAGAAAAGGTCAAAGTAACAACAACACGAATACGAATTTGCTATTGAAGATTGTGATTTTGAAGTATAGACATCTGAAATCAGGCCTATGTGAATTTGAAAGTGGTTTACATTTTACTTAACTCCAAAACATACTCTTTACAAGTTTACAAAATGGAAGTAAACCACAGAATTTAAGTTTTAGCTGCAAAATTCATAAATATTTCATAACTACATCAATTGGTTTTGCTGTATAGACAAAAAAAATACTGTATAGGATTTACAATTTGATAAAAACATTTCTCAAAGGAATGGACCTGAGAATGAAAGCCTTTTTGACAGTCAAAAATGCCAGACTTGGGTACGTCCTTTTCTTAGTACACACATATTTATCTATATTAGCGATTAGAAAAAGACAAAAAAGAAAAAAAAAACATACATCTACAGCTATGAATGTGGACTGAGCTGCTTGGACCAGACCAGTGACCATGTGACTGTTGTGCTGCCCCCTGCAGGAGGGTGAGGGCCATTGCCTGATTGACCACTACGTGACGATCCAATCTCCGCTTTGAGACTACCACCTCCTTCTTCTTCTACTCTTTCAATCCATGGATCCAACTTGGAGATATTTTTGGCATATCTGGCCCGGAAGTGGATGACCAGTTGAGGGGGTCTGCTGTTTTTCGTGGCTTTGTTTGTAGCTATGAACAGAATAGTGGCCAAAATGGATAATCAAAAAACACTGCTGGACTCTATTGACCACTGGAGGATCTTACAGTATGCATTGTACATCATACTGTCTAGAAAGACCTTTATTTTCATCTAGAAAAGTGGATGTTTCACTCTCCAAAAAGGCCAAATTTGAGCTTACGGAGATTGCTTATTTATTGCTCTTCTTTCATTTTTTATTTATTTAAAGATGTAAAGATGTTTTTTGCACGTGTGCCATGCAGTTTTACCAAAATTCTGCGTCTTTTTACTTGAGTTGCGTTTCTAGAGAATGCCGTGAACAAAAGTGACATACATTTATTTAGCTTTGCTTGCTACGATAGAATCTTTGGTTTACCGGGGGATAGTTTATGTTGCGATTTTTGTACATTTTGGAATGAGTTTTGTGAATTCAAGACAGAAAATGTTAAAACAGTGCCATATCAGGTCTGAGAAGGGATTTTCATCTAGTAATAAGAAAATGGACACCTTATATTATTACCATTATGTATTTATAGTTTGGGCACATGCATTTTCAGACGGACTGTGATAAGGATGCCGACTTTTGGTGGGAATGACGATGAAGGTTGTAATAATGAACTCTACCATACTAAAAATCCAAAATCAGACCACACCAAAGGCATACCCTGCAGACTTGATCCTAAAATATCCCAGAGTTTTCCCTGCGACATTGGCCTACATGAGAAACTATGGCAACCTGCTGTCTCCCGAATCAAGGACAAAGCACAGTTAAGCTTCAAAGCAGAAAATTATTAACACTCTTTTTGTTTTTTTTTTTTTTTTTTTTTTACAGTAAAGCACATTGAGGTATTAAAAGAGAGGACAGTTTTCTATGGCTTGGAGACTGCAGCTTCTCATAGGATCAACAATACCAACTAAATATAACTATAAATACAACTTTTACTACGACAATACAGTACTGTGCAAAAACATGAGTTTGCACATGGGTTTCAAAATGTTAAAGTTGAAGAGATTCTCGCAATCAAATCCTCAAATTTATATTCGGAAAAAGTTTTAAGCATTGACGCAAATACTTTAACTTTTACGCAGTATTGTGTGTTTTCAAAACAGTAGCACTTTCTTGGTTTTAACAGAGGAGGCATAGTTTGGAAGGGTTCAGAAAGAAGCGGGAATATGGGTTTTAAAGATCAAATTCATGAAAAAGTGCCATCTTTAGTTTCCACAGACATCACTCAATGGTTGTTTCAATACTTTCAACTATAAATATGATAAAAAGATCGAAGTAATAGTTAAAAGATAACATTTTCTTTCTGTATCTCGTTGCGTACTTTGTAGAATAAGAGACAGGAGGCGCGAGTGTGTGAGAGAGTGATTGTGTCGAACTTTTATGAATCAAATGTGAAGTTTTTTTTTTTCTTATGGACATCAGAGGAGGAAGAGAAGAGGAGGAGGAAGAGGAAGAGGAGGAGGAGGGACGGGGGGTAGACGCTGTTCAATACGTTTTTGGAAAAAGACAAAAAAAGCTCTTGCTGTAACTTAAACCTCTTTTTTCAGTTAATTTGGGCTTATTTTATTTATTTTTGTACTGTGATGGAAAATAAAATGCACTGATCGTTCAAGGTGAGCTGGTGTCTTCATTTTAGCACGAGTTAAAGCTGTTTCGTGATGTACTTTTCTGTATCACTAAGTTTTATTTGTTAGGTCAAGTGCAGTGCAGAGCTTCTGAAAATAAACAAGCCAGACGATAGAAGATGGAGCAGATCCTTAAGGGTCCGAGACAGTCTAAAGTCTGGATAATTGCCAATTCGCCACAGGATAATTAAGAGAGCTTATTGTCAGACAGACTGTTTACTTTCATATTCATTCACTAACTCTACTAGAGAGAAGATATACTACTACTACTACTACTACTACTACTACTATTTGGATTACATGTCCATTTAGTAGTGTAATTTAGTGGTGCAGGGGTCCCCAACCCCTGGGCCGTGGACCAGTACTGGGCCATGGGTCGTTCGGTACTGGGCTACGTCTTCTCACATACACCGTGTAGATTGTGCCTCTAAACCAGAACTAAAACCAGGACTAAAACCAGGACTAAACCAGGACTAAAACCAGGACTAACCCAGGACTAAAACCAGGACTAAACCAGAAGTAAAACCAAGACTCAACCAGAACTAAAACTAGGACTAAAACCAGGACTAAACTAGAACTAAACCAGAATTAAAACCAAGACTCAACCAGAACTAAAACAGAACTAAAACCAGGACTAAACCAGAACTAAAACCAGAACTAAACTAGAACTAAAACCAGAACTAAAACCAGAACTAAAACCAGGACTAAACCAGAAGTAAAAGCAGAACTAAACCAGAACTAAAACCAGGACTAAACCAGAAGTAAAAGCAGGATTAAAACCAGGACTAAACCAGAAGTAAAACTAGGACTAAACCAGAACTAAAACCAGGACTAAACCAGAAGTAAAAGCAGAACTAAACCAGAACTAAAACCAGGACTAAACCAGAAGTAAAAGCAGGACTAAACCAGAACTAAAACCAGGACTAAACCAGAAGTAAAAGCAGGACTAAACCAGAACTAAAACCAGGACTAAACCAGAAGTAAAAGCAGGAGTGTTTTCACACCGACAGTATTTGGTGCGCACCAAACGGTCCATTCGAACCAAAAGTGGTTAGTTCGGTTCGTTTGCGTTGGTGTGAAAGCGTCAATCGGACTCGGACCCGAACCAAATCAAGCGGACCGAGACCGCATAAAAGAGGTGGTCTCGGTTCGCTTGAATCCGCACCAAATGACCAACTTTGGTGCGGTTCCTCTGGTGTGAACGCGAACCCGGGTCCAAACCATAGACAGTATGGACAAACGGACTATTCCAAATGCATCATGGGAGGGACACGTGTCTCCTCTGCCTGAAATGACGCGCTGTACGACTCCAGCGCAGTAACAGATTGTTGTCCAGACGCAGCCGCGATTCATTTTCGAATTATTTTACCAACAATGGCCAATACAGAGAATGTAACACACAAAGATCAGAGCAAGTACCAGTGTGCGAACGTGTGGCTCCAGAGTGAGTCAAAATTGGGGGTGCGTCCCCCTGTTCGGGACCTACACGCACAGAGACGACCCGGTGTTCCCCCGTGATCACACAGCAACCAACATTTGTTATTTTAGGCTTTAATTAACCAAATAATTTCCTGGCAATAGGCAATCGCCCATTCAATTGATACAACTTAAAAAAGTCCCTGTTTTTAGCCTAGTGTGAGAAATACAGTCGGACTAGATCCAAACCAGAGTCCCGAACCAGCGGGGGCAGCTCCGGTTCAGTCCGGGCTCAGAGGAGCTGGAGCGGGGAGCCTCGACCTGAGGAAGCGCTTTCCCCGGGAAGAACCAAATGCGCGGAGGACGGACGCTCAGAACAACATATAACAAACCAAACTGGACTCACGCTTCTGTCCGGATGCTGCACCAACTCGGAACCAGCCGTGGTTCTTGAGCGCGGAGAACCGGAGCAGCGCCCGGACCTGTAGTCCACAGCGCATTCTTGCTTTTCCCGCACGGAAACAGCGCGCAGACGACGGAACGTACCCGCTCGGACTTAGTCCATCAAGCACTGGTCTTGCTCGCCACCGTTTGGAACCAGCACATGGAGGACAGAGCCTCCGGACCATCTGACCAACGAACTTGTAACAGAAGACCAAGGACCAGACCCCAGCCCCGTCCTGAGGAGCTGTTGGCTGCTGCTGTTACCCGAACTCTGCGCTGATGCGGTGAGTTTGTACAAAGTTCTACATGTTGCTGTTTTATGAGTTCATGGTGATAATTTGAGATGAGGACGGCCCGCGGTATTAACAGGAACATCGGTGTTGATAACTGGAGTATCGCTGTTTTACCGGGGAAACAGAGACACGTCAATCGAACCAGTTTTGGTTTGTTTGCCGGTGTGAACGCGGACCACACTGGAGTGTATTTGCTACATAATAACAATTTTATTGCCTGGTGCGGACCAAATAATCGAACTAGCGGTGTGAAAACGACCTAATCGAAACTAGCGGTATGAAAACGACCTAAACCAGAACTAAAACCAGAACTGAACCAGAACTAAAACCAGGACTAACCCAGAAGTAAAACCAGAACTAAAATCAGTTCTAAATCAGTTCTAAACCAGGTCTAAAAACAGGACTAAAACAGGATTTAACCAGGACTAAATCATACTGCATGGACTGTGTCTCCTCCCATATGCTGTGTCCCATGGTGCAAAAAAGGTTTGGGGACCAACTGTAAAAATACTTGTCATTAAATTTGTTACAAACAAAACACAAACAAATACCCATGACAGGACTTTTGCCCTCACATAACCACCTCAGATGTTGTTTATTTATATTTAAATTACTTTAATAAAACACAGAAGTTAACAAAGTAGTGTGATATATTACATTTTTAACAAGTAACTAATAACAGGTGATTAATTCCCCAACACCGTCCGCACGTGAAAGAACATCACTTTGTGTCACTTTTGTGATTCTACCAGAATAAAAATCTTACCACTCTAATGTGTGGTTTATCACATTCTCCTGTTAAACGTCACCATCAAAATAACACTAAAGTATCAAATGTTGTTCTGCAATCTAAACAGATCAATGAGCCTATAAATATAACAGCTACATCAGTTAGTAAAGTATCAGTTGCAACCACAGACTCTATAAACTGTATATGCACAGAGTTAACCTGCTAGCTGCCGCGTTCCAGACAAGAAGTGAACATGAGGTACTGTCAGTGTTCTGTCGAAATGAGCTACCAGCAGCCTAAATGGACAGTTACTGCTATCAATTCACGCTACTCTGTTGAAATAAGCTACTTAAAGGGACAGTTCTGAATGAGCCAGAGTGTTGGAGACGTGTGGAGACACTTTTTTAAATATTCCATCCAGTCCTTGTATTTGCAGAGGTCACTGGTGCTAGGCTAGTGCATGTCAATGGCCATAGTTAGCCTGCCACTAAAAACAGTCTTACCCACTCCACAAAACACCTGAAGCAAAATTATTATTACACCAGACTGTTGATGTGAATGTCTGTGTCGATAGAACAATTTTAGAAGTAAAACCAACCTTGTATTTGAAAGATTTATGTCTGAACAGCAGCAGTGAGTTGTACTTCCTGATAGAAAGCTTGGCAGCAGCGGACTGATATAGGAGAAAATAGTCCCTCAACATGAGACGATTCATGCGATGCATGATTTGAGCTAGGTAGCTCAAATTGACGAATAGCTCAACTTGACAGGACACCGGCTCATCAACACTGGCTCCAATTGACTTCACATTAAACTTGACCTGACTCTTGTATTTTTATTTTCCTGTTTTGTCCATAAATAAATTTCTACTCCTAACATGGAATTTGGCATCCAGACTTTCCCCTAAAACTGCAAACCTTGTGAGCTTCATTTGACTGGAGCTGAACACTTTGGGTGATGTCACACTTCTTTCGTCCACTTCTTTATACAGTCTATGGCTCTAGATAAATAAACCTTAAAACCTACAGACTCTCTCATCCTACTGGTACCTGGATTTTCTGTTTTATTTACACATTTTCTATTTTATTTCACTTTAGTGTCACAGCCTAATGATGTTGGTGCATTAGTCAGACCCTCTCAGACCAAATGAGGATCTCCCCTTTACCACCGTGAATGTCCCCACACAGCAGCGGTGGACCAGAGGTGACAGTGGTGACGCACAGAAGAGAGGAGTCCGGCCAACTGAGAGGACACGTCCAGACAGCTGCTAAACAGTGGGATGATGAAGTACAATTACGGACTACACAGAACTAGTGCTTTAGTAAATGCTGTAGTCCATTAAGGAAGTTCTTAGTCCACTAAAGATATGCCATGTGACTAAATGGGGGCATGGCATTGATACTTTACAATGACATCAAATTGGGAGTGCTCTATATGTATCTCTATGGTGGAATGCAGAGGCGGCGCTACCATTAGGCAACAGTAGGCGGCCACCTAGGGCCCCCGAACCTGGAGGGCCCCCCAAGCAATTGCCTCCAAAGCCACTAATGGCCAAGGCCTCAGAGAACTTCAATTTTCTCTCAGTATGACATTAAATTAGATTAGTTTACTTTTAAACAAGAAAACACCATCAAAATAATGTCTGATTGTCAAATCTATTTTAACTGTCAAAGCATCCCCCCTTTCACATTAGAATGGACTAGTCAGCTTGACTGTGATCTGAACATAATCATATGTAATAAACATAAACAAAAATGTAATTGTACTAGCAATTTCAAGCGTGCTGCAGCCCGTGTGGTCGCGGAGGCAAAAACTTGGAGCTGGGAGGAGTTCGGGGAGGCCATGGAGAAGGACTATCGGACGGCCTCAAAGAGATTCTGGCAAACCGTCCGGCGCCTCAGGAGGGGAAAGCAGTTCTTCACCAACACTGTTTACAGTGCGGGGGGAGAGCTGTTGACCTCGACTGGGGACGTTGTCCGGCGGTGGAAGGAATACTTTGAGGATCTCCTCAATCCCACCGTCACGTCCTCCGAGGAGGAGGCCGAGGCTGGGGACTCGGAGGCGGACTCATCCATCACCCTGGCCGAAGTCACTGAGGTGGTTGGGCAAGCTCCTTGGTGGCAAGGCTCCGGGGTTGGATGAGATCCGTCCTGAGTACCTGAAGTCTCTGGATGTTGTGGGGCTGTCTTGGCTGACACGCCTCTTCAACATCGCGTGGCGGTCGGGGACAGTACCTCTGGACTGGCAAACCGGGGGTGGTGGTCCCTCTGTATAAGAAGGGGGACCGGAGGGTGTGTTCCAACTATAGGGGGATCACACTTCTTCAGCCTTCCCGGTAAGGTCTATGCCAGGGTACTGGAGAGGAGAATCCGGCCGATAGTCGAACCTCGGATTCAGGAGGAGCAGTGTGGTTTTCGTCCTGGCCGTGGAACACTGGACCAGCTCTACACTCTCCATCGGCGCTCGAGGGTTCATGGGAGTTTGCCCAACCAGTCCACATGTGTTTTGTGGATCTGGAGAAGGCATTCGACCATGTCCCTCGTGGTGTCCTGTGGGGGGTGCTCTGGGAGTATGGGGTCCGGGGCCCTTTGCTAAGGGCTGTCCGGTCCCTGTATGACCGGAGCAGGAGCTGTGTTCGCATTGCCGGCAGTAAGTCAGACCTGTTCCCGGTGCATGTTGGACTCCGCCAGGGCTGCCCTTTGTCACCGGTTCTGTTCATTGTATTTATGGACAGAATTTCTAGGCGCAGTCAGGGGCCGGAGGGGGTCCGGTTTGGGGACCACAGGATTTCATCTCTGCTGTTTGCGGACGATGTTGTCCTGTTGGCTTCATCGAACCAGGACCTGCAATGTGCACTGGGGCGGTTTGCAGCCGAGTGTGAAGCGGCTGGGATGAAGATCAGCTCTTCCAAGTCCGAGGCCATGGTTCTCGACCGGAAAAAGGTGGCTTGCCCTCTCCGGGTGGGTGGGGAGTCTTTGCCTCAAGTGGAGGAGTTCAAGTATCTCGGGGTCTTGTTCACGAGTGAGGGAAGGACGGAACGTGAGATTGACAGGCGGATTGGTGCAGCTTCGGCAGTGATGCGGTCGCTGTATCGGACCGTTGTGGTGAAGAGGGAGCTGAGTCGAAAGGCGAAGCTCTCGATTTACTGGTCAGTCTTCGTTCCTACTCTCACCTATGGTCATGAGCTCTGGGTAGTGACCGAAAGGACGAGATCGCGGATACAAGCGCTCGAAATGAGTTTCCTCCGCAGGGTGGCTGGGCGCTCCCTTAGAGATAGGGTGAGGAGCTCAGTCACACGGGAGGAGCTCGGAGTAGAGCCGCTGCTCCTCCTCCACGTCGAGAGGAGCCAGTTGAGGTGGCTCGGGCATCTGTTCCGGATGCCTCCTGGGCGCCTCCCTCGGGAGGTGTTCTGGGCATGTCCCACCGGGAGGAGGCCTCGGGGAAGACCCAGGACACGCTGGAGGGACTATGTCTCTCGGCTGGCCTGGGAACGCCTCGGGGTCCCCCCGGAGGAGCTGGAGGACGTGTCTGGGGTGAAGGAAGTCTGGGAGTCCCTGCTTAGGCTGCTGCCCCCGCGACCCGGCCCCGGATAAGCGGACGAAAATGGATGGATGGATGGATGGATACTAGCAAAAAAAAAAAAATAAAATACTTTCAGCTCTGGTTATCTAGTAGGCAACCTAACTAACAAGTGAAATGAATAAGTTTCCAATCCAACCTAATTCAAATAAAGATGTGCGTGTCTCATGAACAGTGGGAAAAAACAGACAATAAATATAAAAATATACAAAAAAATAAATAAAAATCCTAACAAAACAGTGCATTATAGTGAGGTCCCAAACTCAAGTTCACCTTGGGCCCCCAAATTGACAACTCCGCCACTGGTGGAATGTTCTGGTAGTTACCATAGTGACACAATGCACACATTAGCAAATACTGTTAAAAAAGTAAAAAAAACAAAAAACTAATCGAATACACTAGATGATTTGCAAGAGCCCCAGAAATGTGAGTTCAGGCACCAGCCAATCAGCGAAGAGCCATACATTCTGTGTTGGCAACGATTCCCGAGATTGAGGATTTAAAGCCGGAACAAAGAGAATGTTTGGTGAATTTTATCAAGAGGAAAGACGTTATTGCCCCTCTTCCTACGGGATTTGGGAAAAGCTTAATACACCAGTTAGTCCTGTTAGTGGCGCATTACATACGTCACAACAAAATAGCAGTGATTGGTGAAATAATAAAAAGTATCTGCCTACCGTTGAGCGAAGAAATTCTAACACTGCAAGGTCCGACGCTAACAGAAATCTATAATGATCGCAGAAAATCTATTTTGTAATTTTTATTGAGTTTTCAAATTCTCTTAAAACCTTTTTTTGGCTGTGTTTGCTAATGTGTGCTCACTGTGTCACCATGGAAACTTTCCACCATACACATACATGTTGAACACCTCCTGTGATGTAAAGTATAAATTATGAAAACAGACCGAGGCAATTTCTTGCTCAAATAGATTTATTAATGAAAAGATTACTGAAACATAATGGATATCAATGGCGCAAAACAAAATGACAAGTTTCTTTATATAAATCGTGGTATGCACTTTGACATATGTGACAACATAACAGAAATACAGTTTAACTCGAAATTAGGCACATACAGAATCAGCATTTTAACTGAGAAATATTTGTATAAATCAAACAAAATCAAATGCTTTGGCTGGTATTGACAGTTGAACATAGAGAAAGTAAAATGAAAAACTATAAATTTACTTGAATGGGAAAAAATGGCACAGTTTATTATAGTGGAGTAATTAAGAAAAGCCTTTTAGTGGGTTGAGTGTTCCCTCGACTGATCAATATTATGGAAATGAAGATGTCTATTAAACACTTTTATTCTTAGCCTGGGTGTATTCCCTTTTGTTTTTACCTCATTTTGAGCAAAAACATGACTTCAGAAGTTTTTTTACACAATACACTACCAGTCAAAAGTTTGGACATAACTTCTCATTTCAGTTTAATTATGATTATGTCACTACTTACTAACCTACATGCCAAAAATATCGAATCAAATATATGAAGCACGATGTATGAAGTTGTGAAGCAAAGAAAAACATGTAAATTAATAAAAATATAGATTATATTTTAGATTCAAGTTTAGTTTTAGGCAGTTGAAAGAGCAAAGTGCAAAGCAGTGATCAAACCAAAGGGTGGCAACTGTGAAGAATTTAAAATGTTTTGAATTATTTTCATTTTTGTTGACTATGTACAATGAAAAATAAATTTGTCCTAATCATAGACAGTATATATAATTGGACATAGAACTAGACATTGAAAAATTGGTGTCTCTCTCTCTCTGTAACTGCAGTTTTTAGTCTTAAAATGTTTGTATTAATTTGCATCTTTAACTGCAGTTTCCGTGAGCTTTATTTCTAGCTGGAGCTGAACGCTACATGTGACGTCACACTCCCTCAGTCCACTTCTTTATACAGTCCACGGTTCTAACATTAGACCGATAGCGTAGCTGTAAAGGATTAAAGGAAATAAAGCGAGAGAAAGCGAGATCCTTTGTTCACCCACATCCCTGGTTTCCTGAACTAAACGCTGCAAGGGGCACTGAAGTGAGACATGATGTGTAGTCTAGTCTAATGATGATGGTGGAGAGCGGGGAGAGGAGGCCTGTGGGACCGAACGAAGCCCGGGGATAGACACATCCATCGGCCCAAGCGCACACACACACACACTCGCCCTCTTTCAAATCCGTCTATCATTACTGCTTTTACCTGCAGTGTCTTCACCTCACACGCAGACAAAAAAGTGTTGTTGTTGGACGGTGAATATACTAATTAAGATAAATGACTTATTTGAGATAATTAAGGATGCAAATGCGGTTAGGAAGTTAACCTTAATGTAGCGGGGAAATAGCAACTGGGACAGACACCTTGGGAGACTGGGTTCATATCTGTGGGCTAGGACTTCCTCTCAAGATGTTCAAAGACTCTGGTATCTGGAAGAATTTTTGTGAGTTTTGTGAGAAAATTTGGAGGGTAAATGTTTGCTTTTGACAATTATACACAACAAAATGAGGAAGATCAATTGCAAATTAGTAAAATAAACACATCTTGACATGTATGTTTGTGAATAAACATACAGTTATCCAATCTTTTTCAAATCAAAATCAATCAAAATCAAATCTTTATATGAACCAAAGTTAAAAAAAACTATTGTAAAGGGTCACATTTTTATATAGCGCTTTCAAGGCACTCAAGGCATTTCACATCAAGGAACCACTCACCCATTCACACACACACATTTATAAACCAGTGTACACACAGACACTGGGGGCCTGGTGGGTTAAGTGTCTTGCCCAAGGACAACATTCATCTGTGAGAGCTGGAAATGCACCACCAACCTTCGGATCAGTGGGCAAACGCTCCACCAACTGAGTTACTGTCACAATAGTAAATATATATTGCACCTTTTAGAATAGTTGGGGTAATTTTGTCCATAATTTTTTGTTTGAAAAATGTTGTAATATTATGTTGGTTCATTATGTGTTTTCATAGTCAGGTAACAGAACAGAAAGAACACGGAGGAGTTATGGGCAACAAGAAAATGCAATTTGGAGAGAAAAGACTGTCTGAAAGTCTGTGCTGGAAAAATACAAAACAATATTGAAAAAGGGAACACCAAGTTATAGCTCTATTATTTGTGTTGAATAAAACTACAAATTAAAATACGAAATAAATGTCTGCACCAAACATATTGCAAAACAACAGATTGTAATGAACGTTTGATGAAAACAGAGTTAAATCTAGTATAGTGTGAGACAAGAGACCTGGAGTGCTAAAATGGCTTGCATTGACTGATACTTTCTGAGTCTTTATTACAATCAAACTTTATATTAGACTTGTCAAACTGTATTTAAACATTTGTTCTTTCGCTAAAGGTTCTATATTACGCAAAATGGACTCTTGTGAGCTTTAAGCCATGTTAGGGCGTTGTTACCTCCTCAAAGACAAACCTGAAGTTGTGTTTTGAGAGAAAAACTCAGCCTAAATATGCAGGGTGTGTTAAAAACGTGTGAATAAAACACAACAACACAACTCCAGGTATATTTTTGATAAGGAAACAACATGATAACATCGATCAGAAAATAGTGCAATATGGGCTCTTTATTCTGATCTCAAACCCAGTTGTTTCTAACAGAGGATATTAGTCAAATTGCAGGCTTTTCCAGGGAATTGGAAGTCGTTAGGCAATTCAATTAACAGAAAAAAAAACACAAACTAATTATACTGACTGGCCCCAAACACTATGGCAGTACGTCATAATGATCAAATATAAACATATGCATTGAAAATACAACATTGTTCAGGTATATCCCTCATAGGCGTATAAGTGCTCATCATACACATAATCCTTGAATATATTTTACTACATATATAATTAGTATAGATTTTCAAAGTAGCAGTAAATATATGTATGCAGAAATTAAATTAATATATATTGTGCATGTACAACTATGCAGTGTCAAAGATATGTTCAACACATCACAGACTGCAAAGTTACAACAAGGAACAACAACAATAATCTTACTCAAATCCCCATATGTGACTGTAAACACATAAGATTATATTCTACTTTTCATTATTTACCAGACAGGTATTAAGTCAATTACAATATGCCCTTTTCGAAACTGGTTCCTTTTTGAGGGTTTCAGGTTTTTTTTCTCCATACCTCAATTACTTTTGCATGGATTATAATTCTGCAAAGCGTGTGGATTTTTCATTATTTATGCAATATTGGTTCTGCATAATCTCCTTTCACCTTTCAGAATGTATTCACAGATCAGGCATAATATTATGACCACTTGTCTAATGTTATTTTATCCTTCCTTTGTTCGTTTTAGATCAGTTTTGGGAATGCATTGATACCACTGACGTGCTATTTGGCTTTTAACAACATAAAAAAGCACTGAAATAGATAAATTATTTCATCTTTTTCCACTCAAATACTTGTATATGTATATGGAAAATACATATAAAGTAGAATCCAATCTAAAATTTAGCTTTGGATTAACAAAAAATACTGGAAAATGGTCACAATGTTCCACAGTATAAAGTATAAACTAATTTATCTTGCTTAAAGTTACCTAATGCCGCTTTAAAGTCATTTTTTGTAAGTGAATCATGAATTAATCCCTAAAGGTGCACTATGTAACTTTTTGGTTGGGTGTCCATCACGTATTTATTTCTATGGACAACTCATTGCTCTGCTTAAAATGTTCCACAATATGACATTAAACGCATCTACCTTAAATGCATTAAATTACAAGTTTTAAAGCTCAAAAAATACCTAGAAAACTGGCATTCTGACTGTGAGCGGGGTCGCCTCTCCACAGATCTGACCTGTAACTTGGCCTGGTTTGATCTGCATGAAGATAGAAAGTTTTAATGTCATACTGTGAAACATTTCAGACAAGCACGCCCAATATTCTTGCTTCAAATAACATCTTCCATAACTACAACAGGTTTAATTGGGAGATAATAAACCCACTGTAAAACTGTCACCTGTTATAATATTATGCCTGATTGAAATCCACACACAACTTACTCCAGACACACTTTGGTAGCTCTTGTAGTGCACACAGGTTTTAAATAGCTTGATCGATGCATAGAAACACAATAAATTTGGCTTGTATTAAAGGATTCAATTAGCACAGTTTGCTCACAGCGCTGCTATCCTGTCATAGTCAGCGACCTCTCATATGTACATGAATCATACGTGAATCATTGTTATAGCACACGGACGGCTTAGTTTGAAATCTGCTGTTGTTTTCTCATGTTTATGCCATTTTCCTAGTTTCCTGGTACAGACAGAATGTACCCGGAGCGGCTCTTGGTGAAGTCGGGCTGTGATTGGTTGATTTTGGGTTCGACGATGATAGTGCACTTTCGCCCGTTCATGCTGCACTGGATGGGACTGGCCACGTTGACCTGTAGCTTCCTCTTCTCGCTGCAAAAGAGGAGAAATTTTTTTAAAAAAAGATCAGATTTGGCAATGGTTTACACAACGTACAGGTGTAGAAAATGTGAGGGTTCAAAGCATCATCTTGCCAGGTAAAAATGGATCTATCCAAAATAAGATAAAATGAAAATGGGACCAAAAGGACTTAGATGTAATGGGGACAGCAAATAGGCTAAACCAGGACTAAACCAGGACTAAACCAGGACCAAACCAGGACTAAACCATGTTATTAGGTTCTTTTTTCAGACCAAGAGTTTTCATACTTGACAGATTCGACTGCTCACTAGCACTCTTCATCAGAGTGGTCATGTGATGTTGCTGTGATGTGTCTGGTCAGCTGATTTAAACAGGTTTTGGCAGTGTCCTCCTACTGGGGGAGGCATGACAGCTCCATCTGCAGTCTGACTTCCTCAGGACAGTATCCCAGGTGTGTGAGAGTAAAAAAAAGCCCCCTCATCCCGTTTTATAGTCCTGTGCAAAACCTGTATAAATCAGCGGACCGGGCACGTCACAGCAACATCACGTATCCACTATGAGGAAGAGTGCTAGTGAACAGTCAAAACTGGCAGGTATGAAAACAAACTCATAGTCTGAAAAAAGAACCTAATAACATAAATTATTGGAAGACCAAATGAACCTCATTGGACCAGAACAAACCAGGTCAACCCAAGTGAAAATGGCTTCTTCATCTGAACATGACGTGCAAAGCCCAGGCCTGAATGAGGACTAAATGAGGACTAAACCAGGATAAAAACAAGGCCTAAACCAGGACTAAACCAGAACTAATTTCCATTCTAATCATCATTCTGTCCACAAATGTCACTGTTGGTTAACCTGCCTCTCTGATATGGACCAATGACCAATGTTTGTTTGTGTTTCATTGTTTGATTTTAAAACTTTCTGTTGGTTAAATTTTGTTAAGCCATGCAGGTGAGTACTGTTGTGATCTTGGGCTACACAAAAATGTATTAAACCTAAAAAATTGAAGTCTAAACTGGATAACTCAATATAAAACATATAAGGCTGATGTGAACACGATTAAACCTGCACTAAAACTGGACTAAACCTGAACTAAACCAGAACACTAGCACAGCAGTACAACAACTACTGACATTACAGAAATAAAATAACATGAACTGCAAAACACTACTGTACACCACCATAATCTTCATATACCCTTTGGTACTTGCACCACTGATGCAGAACCCTTTGACTGTATGATTTATATGTACGTCTGCACGCATGTTCAAATGAAGAAACCATTTCCACTTGGGTTGTTCTATTTAATGTAGAGCTCCCAGTGCACGCGGTCCTCATAACGCATTCACTTATGGTTTAATTTGTGTGTTAAAATATGCATAGCCATTAGCAAAGTGAGGCAGTGCTGCATGGGTGCTATAATACCATAGCTGTTACTAAGACAATAAATCATATCATATTATTACTCTGTTTCATCCCCATAGACACACACAGAGGACCTGAATGAAAACACAAGAATCTGACAGTGACTGGAGACATAAATCATATCTTCTACAAAAGCTCTCACACACCATTAAGTCTTTCATAGACGCTGGCAAAACGCAATACTGATTTACTCCAACGAGACAAGCTTGTACAGATGGATCAGGGATTCTCAAGCAGTGGTTCAGAGTCATAAAAAAGCAGGTAACTTGAATAAAAATATTGATATCTATACACAAAGTCCAGTATTTTGCCTCATCCAAGTAGAAAAAAAAAAAAAAAGTGTCCAAGTATTCTTTAGTATTATAATTTATTAAAAACATGCAAGTCAAAGTGTTAAATAAGGCAAATAACAATAGGTGCTAGCACTAAAGTTGATTAACGAAAGCAATTTGAGCAACAGAGAGACATACAGTATATTAAAAATGCTGGATTTCTCAAATGTGCTTAAATAAACAAAACATAACTCTGTGTTTTGATTAGAAAAAGCTAAAGCCAACACTGTTTTCTAAGAATACTGTAGGAATTTAAATGCTGTGTTATTTGAATAATTGAAGAAATGTAAAAAGGTAAACATAGCGACATACATCACATTCACTTTGGGCACGTTCTTGAAAGGAAAGGCCGTTGTAATGAATAAGAATCACAGCTTAAGGGGACAGAGGCACTCAGCAGAAAAAACAAGTGCAAATGCAAATGAATCTAGTGGCCTCACCAACAGGTAAGTAAATAAGCACACGATTACATGCATGGAATAATTTTCAAAAGGAAATCATTATTTTGGGACTAGTGCGAGAGAACAGTGGCAAAAAACTAATAAACAAATGTGAATGCTAAATTAATGGAGTCATGTGTTTGTTGTGAACACAAATTGACCACAGAACAAGCGCATGATGGTTTATGGACTTAAAACTGTGTGCAGGAGTAGCCCAGAGTTTTACCTGTGATGCAACAATCCAGGCAAAATTTTTAGTACTCAGAAGAATACTCTGGATTAATGTATTAATGAAATGAAAGCGTCAATGAAGCAAAATACAACTACAGGATGGGTATTGATAAGGAGATTAAATAACAAATTCAAATCTGTCTAAAACTATCTTAACCATTACGAGACACGATCAACCCCTTGGCAGTAGTCACCTCTCTCCTTCTGCATGTTTAGGTTTTTCTTCATTTCCAGCACACTCTGTTGCTGAACAAAGATAGACAGTTCTTTGTGGCCACATCTCTTTTAAACAGGACTTTTTCTCAGCTCTGTGGATGTAAAAATAGTGCCATTGGAGCACAGATCCATATGTCTGTGTGCTGTGGGCCGCTCTGCAGAGCCTGTCACATGCAGTTACCCCGCTTGAGGCTGAATGGGCTCTTTGGCTAGTTAGCTCTTAAACAGAATCGATGACGGCAATCACATAGAAAGAAGGGAAAAACGTGTAGAAAGAGAGAGAGAAAAAAAAAGAGTAGTACAAATTAACAAATCTGTAGAGAATGGCTTATAAGGTCCAGACTGAACTGAACACAAATAATACAAGTAAACGCTAATGTATGTTTAAGATATAAGCAGGGTAGTTATGATGCATGGTACTGCATATTGTGTTGCAGTGGCACACTTTTACTGGCACAAATACTGCTGATGAGTATTGGCAGTATAGGAAACCAGGGCTAAACCAGGACTGAAAGTGGACCAAACAGAAAACTAGAACAAAACAGGTCTAAAGAAAGGTTCAAGCAGGACTAAAACCAGGCAGATTCAAACTAAAATTTAACCAATATTAAGACTAGAATGGATGCCAGATTATCAAACAGCAGCAAGCGAAAATGACTGCACAAAAACATGAAATATAGCAACTAGTCTTACATTGTAGACTGCATAGATCATTACAGAGTTCATCAATATGTAACAGATATGAAAAAGGATAAAAATCACATCTTTTATGACATAAAAGTGCAGCTCTGCAAGTCCAAATAACCCAACTGAATCTCAAAATGTGTTGCTTTCCAAAAACAGGTTAGAAAGTAGATTCAAGTAAAACAAAGGGTCAAGGAGGGTACCGTAAAAACTGTACTATAAGACAATAAGTGGAAGATTTATTCATAGTGAATGGAAAATGTATGTAGGTAGGTATGTAGGTAGTAGGTAGGTAGGTATGTAGGTATGTATGTAGGTATGTATGTATGTATGTATGTAGGTAGGTATGTATGTAGGTAGGTATGTATGTAGGTAGGTATGTATGTAGGTAGGTATGTATGTAGGTAGGTATGTAGGTAGGTATGTAGGTAGGTATGTATGTAGGTAGGTAGGTATGTAGGTAGGTATGTAGGTAGGTATGTATGTAGGTAGGTATGTAGGTAGGTATGTAGGTAGGTATGTAGGTAGGTAGGTATGTAGGTAGGTATGTATGTAGGTAGGTATGTAGGTAGGTATGTATGTATGTAGGTATGTAGGTAGGTATGTATGTATGTATGTATGTATGTATCTAGGTATGTATGCATGTATGTATCTAGGTATGTATGCATGTATGTATGTATGCATGTAAGTATGTATGCATGTAAGTATGTATGTATGTATGTATGTATGTATCTAGGTATGTATGTATGTATGTATCTAGGCATGTATGTATGTATTTAGTTCTCAATGGCACAATTATTATTCAAGAATAAAAACAGCGATGGTAAACACATGTCATTTCTCTAATTGAATGTGCTTTTTATTTACATTGCATCGATATGGGCTGAGTCACGAAGCAAATCAAGTTAGATAACAACAATACAGAAAGATGTATGAATCTACAGCAGTATCTCTATTGATATAACTATTACTATATAAACTATATATAGCCAGACAACACACAAGTGCTCTAAATCATATCTGTCCACAGTTTTGCTTTCTTTAGAGCAGACCAATTATGCAAAATGGACTTCTCAGAGCTTTTAACAATGTCATAGTTGCTTCCCCTTCTCATTTACCCACTCAAATTTGTATTTGGAGTAATTCGTGCATGTTTGAGCAATCTATAATCACTTATTTTCAAGACACCATATTGCAGATCAACCCCCATTTTCACCATCAGCATACACTCACTGCTCTGTACTTGCTTCGTTTTTCAATTCTATTTTCTTAATCGCTGATACACGTAGGATTTGGCAGCGTCGTGTAGTCATTTTGGTACAAATAAAAAAAAAACTCTTTGTTGTGATGACGTTTACTGTGACGTCTGCTCTCAAGTTGTTGTTGTTTTAGAATAATATTCCGATTTGGAAAGTGCAAATTAAAACAATAACTCATGGGTGTCATAGATTATAACTATAGCAGACTAATGCACAATGTGTGATCTATAAAAAATCTGCACTAGCAATTTTCTGCACATTAACACCAAATACAGTTTAATACAAAATGAACTGTCAAAGGTGCACTATGTAACTTTTCGGATGGGGGTCTGTCACCCATTTGTTTCTACAGATATGCCATTGCTCTGCATGTAAAGTTACACAGTATGACATTAAACAGCTCTACCTTACGTTTGTTCAAT